TCTGCCATTTACCTGGGAATCCCAGAAAAGCCTGCTTCTAGATGTTTTTTTTTTTTCCTTTCTTTTCAGTTCTCAGTAAGGGGATTTAAATATACATATATTTTTTTCCCTCCTTGCTCCTCTTTCTGAGAGCGTGTGTTTTCACATGGCTTCCTCAGACAACAGTCCCTATTGTTTCTATACACCATGAACTAAAATCAAGTTCTTTAACAGAGGTGAAGCAAAACCAAGTTGCACCAGCTGCATGAACAGCCTAGGGATGCTGTAGCATGGCAGCTGCTTGGGGCTTGGTGTATGCACCTCGTGGAGGGTTTGCCAGATATCTCCTTGGTTGTGGTGGCTGGAGCTGGAGTTAGGAACCAGAGTGATGTGGGCCAGGGAGGCTTGGGAAGGGTCAAGCAGGCAAACCTGTGGGTTTTGCCACCATTTATATACTGCTTTTCACATCTCCATTCCCTCCCTGAGGTCCTGAGCTGTTGCGGGGAGGCTATTCCTGAGCATGGCTTAGCTCCATTGAGCACAGCAGCTCCTTTCTGCCTGCCCTGCTCTCAGCCACCAACAGCCCAGCCCAGCACAAAGCTCACAGGTCTTCCAGCCTCCCCTGCCTGGGAATGATGAAGTTGTATGCAGCTCTGGCTCTGACCATAGCTGGGAGCACTTGAATGTGTCTTTCTGCCTTATTAGCTCCTCTGCTTCCAGCTCAGCAGTGCTGAGACGTGTAGGTCAGGACAGCCAGAGGAGTGAGTTATGCTGTCTTTGAACTTCCTGCTCTACATGATGGCCAAAAGAGTGCAAAAGTCTCGTGGACAAATGGCTGGGGCAGGCTGTGAGGCCGTAGCTCAGTCTCTGTTGAGATTAATGTGAGTACTTCCCATCAGTGTCAAGTGAGGTCTTCTAAAGAACGTAAATAATTCGCTAAGGTTCTGTAAAATACGATGGCAGAAGTAGAGAGGAGGAGAAGAAGGGAAGAGAAAATTAATTGTTCTCTGCTTTTAGATAATTTTCTCCTGTATTCCTACCTTGCAGGGAACAAGCAAGACCTCGGGTCCTCAGCCACTATGGAGCAGATGAGCTCTGCTGATATCAGTGCAATCCTCTGACTTTTACCCAGCTGAGAACCTGGCTTTAAAGTTTGGATTTAAGTCTGATTCTTGGCTCCCTGTCTTGGCAAGCGTCTTATTCATTAGAAAACTAAACAGAGGCAGATTACTGAGTGAGTTGGGATTTTTTTAGTTAACTCCGAAATGTAAATGAATTCCAAAATATAAATGCTTCAAACTGTGATTCTTACTTTCTAGCCAGTTCTCTGACCCAGGTGATTCTGGCAGGCCTTGCCTGAGCTGCAAAAAGTGAGATTTCTTTGAGCAGCTGAGCTGCCTCCCCCAGCAGAACAGTTCCACTCCAGCACAGCAGTGCAGCATGCCAAAGGCTGGCACTGTGCTTGGGGATCCCAGCAGTAGACATGGGCTTTTGCAGCCTGGGATCCCAGTGAGCACCCAGGAACACTGGCTTGTCAGAGATCTTTTGACTTGGAAGCTCTTCATTTGTTGCAAGCACTGGCAGAGCAGATGTTTGTTATTTATACTCACGTGCTGTCTCAGGATTGAACAGGGCTGTTAGTCATTGACTATCATGTTTGTAGTGTATAGCATCTAAAACATCCCTAGAAATGGATGTTTTCCCAAAGGGGATGTGGGTTTGAGCCATATTCTCTGTTTACTGATTTCATTATAACATAACAGTAATTCCTTTTGACTTTGGCAATGCTTTGTTGCATTTAATAATAGAAAAATTCAACTGGAATAATATCACAGACTGTGTCTTGCTGAGGTCTTATAAAGCTTACAATGGCAGCTATGTAAGTTGTCATACACAGGTAGATGTGTATTTAATTATAAAATGCATTTTATTTAACACTTTCAGCGAGTTTAATGCTTTCAAGTAAGTTAATATCCTCTAGAGATATCCTCTGTGGTCAGTACCATGGTACTTTTGCCTAATTTAGTCGAACCAGAGTTCAGACAGCATTTACTCCAGGTGTCCTTGGATGCACAAAAGACTCCCTTTTGTTTCCTAGCACCAGTATTTCAAGCTACTGCAGTAATACTATGAATGAGGTTTAGTCTTTAAGAAAACATTTCCCACTGGATTTGCTTCGAAACAGTCTAAAGAGTTAAATACTGCACCAGGAGGTTTCACTTTTATTCTGATGTTGAGTGTGGCTGCTCCGTCATAGGAAGCATTGAATGCTGACATATAAGTAATGAGTAATTCTAGAGACTGTTTCGATAACAAATGAAACAGAGTTTGATTTTCCTGAATTTAGGGGAAATTATGGGTTTAGTTTTTGTCAAAAGTTCTTTGGTACCAGGATTTGCAATTTCTGAGTATCTCTTTTTCGTGGGAGCAAATCATGGCCATCAGTAAAGAAAATTTGCTTGTGTGCAAAGAAAACCATTTGCAAAGGTTAGGGATTTCCTTCCTGGTGCATCACGAGCACCAACATCTGTGGCCTGCATCCTTTGATTGCTCTCTTAACAAGATCTGAACATTAAATTCATAGAATGCTGCCTCTATTTTTCTTATTTGGTTATTATATAAAGACAAGGGATGTTTCTGGATTGTAGCATGATTGGAGGGGGAAACAAACAGTGTATGAAGTGCATCCAATTTGGCTTCGGCTGCATGCTTTTGGAAACCTTCCTAGATTCTTATCCAGCAATTTAAACTTCATTTAGTGTTGAGAAACATAAACTGCACTTCTTATTTGTTACGGTAAGATCACAGTGACTGCAGACACTGCGCTGCGGTCAAACACCAGCAGAACAATGCAGCCCCTGGAGTATGTTGCAATGTGAATTGAAAAGTGCAAAGACAAAAGGCAAAGAAGGATGGTCAGGATGCTACCATGAGAATGCTTGGAGTGTGCTTAGAGTTCTTCTAGTTTATTTTTATCAAAGATGAAACAAGAGTGATAAATTGAGGGTCGGTGGAGTAGCTTTTCTCTGCTGGGCAGAAATGTCTGGCTTTCTGTCCAGTGATGTTCTTCTCCTTCCCTCAACCAATGGGAAACTGTGCTCAAGAGGCATGGAGAAAAATGCCACAAACCTACCTTTTTGCTGCAGACAAAGCAGTAAACCTTGTTTCCGTGATGCTGGCCCTGTACTGCCATGGATCCTGCTTCAGCAAACTGATCCCAGTGCTCTCAGAGAGTGGCTCCTCGATTTGCAGTAAGCTGCCTGCAAGGGAACTTCTTCCCAACTCCTCTGCTCTGTAGTGATGCTATGCCTTTAAAATGTGAGGTTCTGTACCCCTCAGTGATTTATTACTGCCTATAAGGTGACTGGGGTGTTTGTGTTAACCTTAGTTATGCCTGAACTTCAACTGTTAAACAGTTTTCAAGCTCAGTCTCAGTTGAAGAGTTGGAAAAAGATGTAATGGAACCCCAAACAGCATAAAGAACAATGTAAAGATTCTGTTCCTATTTATTAGTTAATAAATTATGTTAATAATTGTAGTTCTAATTAAGCAAATACTAAAATATGTATATTTAACAGTATAATTTAGATATAGCCAGTACAGACTTTGCAGTGTAATATCTCAAAGCTGAGAACTGTACCAACAACACTGTGAAGGCTGCAGCAAGAAAGGGAAGGTAGCTCAGCCTTCATTCCTGTGTGTGTGAAGGGTTTGCCTGTGGGAATTATCTGTTGCAATGGATCCCAACCACATCTTGGCATGTCCAGAAGTGGTCTGGGGGTTAATACTCTCTGCTCTCTTTCTTGCCACTTCCAGGACTCTTTTTTGGCAGCACAGCAGTTACTGTATATTTACAGGTGTTTGACCTGCTGAGTTGAAAAGCAAATTTCAAAGAAATCTGGAGATTGCAGTTAACTTCTCCATGGCATTTGATGAAAGCAAACAGGCAAAATCCACTCAACTCTCTTGATGGCCAGGGTTTCCAGTTATTTACAGGAAATGATTTTCCCTAAACCCACTGTAACTGATTCTTTAGGTGTTATGGAATAACGTGGAGAGAAAGAAACAAATATGAAAGTCACACAGAGAAATCTGATGAGATCAGGGATGTTTTGCAATGGGGTGAAATGCAAAGTCACATTAGAGCTGGGGAGGCTTGGCAGCTATACCTGGTCGGTTACCAAGTGAGATGGAGGCATGGAGACCAAGAAATGATTCCCCAGGGGCCATGGTTTATCTTGGACAATACAATATATTTCTCTTGGAGTATTCTCACTTCCACCACATGACCTTATGGGAAGATACAACTACAGAAAACACGTGCTCATCTATCAAATCTGTTTATAGAAGTATGATACGTGGAATAGCATTACTCAGCTACAAAGTGCATTTTAGTGGGTGCAAGTTAAAAGTGTGCCCAGCCTAATCCTCCCCTGAAATTTAGCTGGGAAGTGATCACAGTTAATAACTGTGATAAAGGCAGCAGGCAGATATAAAGCCTTATCTTTAACTTTTCCAGTGTGAGAGGAACTGTGTGTCCAAGAGCTGTGATAGAGCTAACTGGGGCCAGCTGTGCTGCTAATAGTGCTGTGCTGGGAATCTGTTCTGTGTTATTCAAGAGCCCTTTGCTTCCCAGGTGCTGTGATTGCTGAGCGATCCAAGCCGGACCCCAGAACTTTTAACTCTTGATTTGTGTAGAGCTGCAGAAATGTACTGTTTTATTACATTTAATTATTTGTTATGCTCTTTTACAGATGCATGGCATGGGCAGTGGCAAGATTTAAAGCAAGTCATTAAGAAAGGTGGAGTAAACTACAGGGTAAATGAGAAAGTTCTAGCTTTGTATTTCTTTAGTGATTAGCTTTTACTTCTTTGAGTAGCCTTGTGGAAAGTATCCTGTGTGTAATGCAGGATCAGTGCTGTGATTTTCCCAGGGATTCAACACGTGGGCTGTCTTTGCTTTGTAGCTTGCTGCATGCGGTGAGAATGGAAGGACAGGGAAAGTGCTTGAAACCAAAAACCAGTGTTGGGATTTCACTTTGAAGTGCTCCAGCAATGAATGCGTTAAACGTTTTCATCAGAGACTTAAAAAAAAAAAAACGTATAAGGAGGATTTGCCAGAAAATTAGTTTATAAAAGAAAGTGAAAGCTGTGTCACACATTAGAGAGCAGAGAAGAGAAAGTGCAGCATTACCTTCATCTCAGCTTTTCTTCAAAAATGTAACTGTCGATCACAGGAGGCAGAACCCGCTTCAGTGAGACCTCCCTTCCTCCCTTCACTGTGGGATCCTCCACTTCCCCCGCAGCAGAGCAGACGCCTTCGCAGGAGGACTGAGAGCTTCCCAGGCACCTCTGGCCGTGCAGGAGCAGGCATGACGACAGGAAGGATCTGCTGCCTGGTGCTGCTGACCCTCGGGGTGCTGGCGGCCGTGGTTGTGCTCCTGGTCACCCTGACTCAACCCAAGTGTGGTCCTCAGCAGTACCTGCATGGAGCTGTGGCTGCTGACACCGAGACCTGCTCTAACATCGGCCGGTACGTGCACAGACCTCTTGGTTTGACAGTTTGTGTTTTGTGTGTCGTGGGCTTGGGTTGGTGGACAGGTACATGTGGTGACTGGGAGCGAGCTGGGTTTCTGCCTCATCCCTGTTTCTTGGGCTGAGGAAAGTTGCTGCTCCTCGGGTGCTCATTGGCAGCAGAGCAGCTCAGAAAATTGATGGGGATCTTCCTCTGATGCTTATCTTAATTACCTAATATCACATGAGTGGCCTATGGGAAGCTGCAAATATTTATAGAATGTGAACGTAATGTTATTTTTAATAGTGGAAAAAAGAAATCAACTGCTTACTTCATAGTGGTAAGTCTGTTGGATAAGTGGCTTAGGAATTTCTCTTGAAAAGTGGGAGAGGATCTAGCAGGGAGCTGCAACCAGGCTTCAGCAGGGGTGAGGAAGGCAAGCAGGTGGATGGGATAAGGAGGGATGGACAGCCCAGCCTTTAGGGAGTACATTTCTGGACTACAGCCTGCAGTAGGCATATCTGCTATCAGGAAAGGCACAATGCATTGGAAAGCAAAGCATAGATGTAATTGAAACTCAACCAAGATGGTGTAAGTATAGAAGGCATGCTTATGTTGCTTGGAAGGAAAGATGTAGGTGTAAAATCCTCAAGCTGCTCTGGTCATAAGACTCTAGTTTGCACAATAACTTATTTCTCATGTATTTTAACTCTTTAACTCTTACTGTTGCGATTACTTCAGTTCTTAAACCTTTGTATGCATGAAAATGGAAGGATGGAACTTAAACCTTTACAAGCTACATGCAGTACGTGTGAATGAAGCTGTGTGCTCTACCCTGTGGCTGGAGGAGTGAGGCAGGTGTTGGTGTCATTGCACCACACTTCTTGTTGCGGACTGTGCAGTGACAAACTGACACAGCACTTGTGAGTAACTGGTGAAGGCGCACTGTGGCTGTGTGCACATCAAGAAGTGAGATTTTTTTATGCTGGGCCCCAGGTTAGGCTTCTTGCTTAACCTAAGCTGAGATCTTTATTCTCACACGGGGATTTTGTCACAGCAGTAGCAATGAAATCCAATTTCTCCAAGCAGCCTTAGCCATTAGGTCCTTGTTGCCACTTGTGAGCTTCCACTTCATTTGCCACCTAATTTCAGCTTCAGCAAAGCCAAGCATCTTTCTGTGCACAGCCCTGATGCCTTTCCATATCGTGCCCAGCCAGTTGAGTGGTTTTTAGAGTACAACAATGCTGTTGACTTCTTCTGTTCAGAAATAACTCCCAAAGTCATGAGATGTAGGAGGAAGGAAACAAAAAGAAATTATCAACTTGGGGTGGTTTTTATTTTTCTTTTATTTTATTTTAAGTAAGTATTGTATTTAGGTCTTCACTCTTTTTCTGCAATTATGCAAACATTTGCAAATTTTTATGCTGTCTCTTTGGGCCTGGGCTGATGCAGAGAGTTGAGGAGTTAGAAAGGTGTAATGAGCAATGAGATTCCCAGTGATGCAAGGGCTGGGACTTGTACTGCAATTCCTGAGTCCTTGCTGGGCCGTTTGCTATCATGTCTGCTTGTTCACATTTCCCTGTGCTGCTGTTAGAGCCTGTACAGTCACTAGTGCTGCTCTTCTCATCCTACCAAATGCTGTACCCAGTCCATTACCCCCTGCTCACAGGCTCTTTAACTCTACAGGTTTTCTTCTGCCCTGAGCCTGTCTTTGCAGCTCGGTCACCTCAATCCTTATCCACATCCTCTGTGTTTGAGGAGAGACGTTGCTGGCCTCTCCACTTGCTAGCTGTGTCTGGGAAGCACTGAGCTCCAAGACAGTAATTTCTTTATTATTTTCTGACACCCAAAGCCGTGACAAACGGCCCCCACAGCTCAGGGAATTGTGCTTGGCCCCCACAGCTCAGGGATGGAACAGGCTAAGTTCTACTGTCACTGCCAAAAAATCACTAGAGAATGAATCTACCAAACATGGATAATGCATTCCTTCACACACACACATACAATACATAGATGTATATAAAATAAAAATTATAAAGTTTACATTTTTTCCCCCTCAAGGCAAACAGCTTTGCTAAATTGAAGTGCGTTGTCAGAACTGCAGACAGACCACCACTGGCTTTAGACATGCACACTTAAAATTTTCTAGAGGAATTTAAAAATAAGTAAAATAAGCAAAACAACTTTCCTCAAATGCATTCTTGCTGATGCTTTTAGTGGAAACATATGTAAAGAGTAACCTCCACAGCACCATGGGAAAAACAAACTAATTAGGCTTCATGGTGAAGTTATACAATCAAATGAAAACAACGTGTTGTGATTAAACCTGCCTGCCTGGTGAGAGTGGAGTAATGGCAACCAGTCCCCAGAGGCAAGTGCACGGGGAGATTCAATAGTGCCACTTTGTCCCCTGCTCCCCCCAATGACTCTGCAGTCCCTCTGTTTGCTGGGGCCCTGGGCTGGCCCCCAGTTATCTTTTTTTATCCTGCAAATCTCCCTGGGCTCTCAGAAGCCCATGCGAAGGATGCACAGAGAGGCTCCAAGTGCAGAGTGGGCTCAGTGCCTGAAATGTTTGAAGTTAAAAGCAGCACCTATTCTTTAACCTCTTTATGAACTTCATTCTTTAATCAAAAGTCTAATTTCCTTTATGAAACAGAAAGCTAACAGCCCAAACCATGTTGCTGGCCAATATGCAGTGAGTTGTCATTAGCAGTAATGAAATTTCTGAGGTGTTACATGATGGTTTAAGTGGTTGATGAAGCTGAATCTTTGTGCTCCCCAACCGAGCTTTTAAATGAACTTAATGAGAGCAACTGAACCAAATCTCTTGTGCTAAGTGCAATAGTGTCTTTTAATAAGTGGGATGGTGAGCTTGGGAAAACATCTCGAGATGCCTGTATTGCTGAATTCCATCACTTCTCAGCTGTGAAGGAAGGCTCAGCAAGGGAACCACATAACTCTAATTCCTTATTACAAAATGGAGGGGGGGGAGCAGAGCCACAACTCCCATTTGCTACTTTTTCTTAACTTGTGCTGAGCTGTTATCTTCAAGCTTCAGTTTCCCATCTCTGGAGATGGTGCTTGTACACTCTAGGGTTGTGTGAGGTTGAATTGTCTGAAATTTTTATGCAACTCTTTGGCTCCCTGCAGAAAGCCAGCGACCTCGGCAAGCCTCCAGCATCATCATCCTTGCTGGCAGGTCCTGTGCTAAGACTGGCTCTTAGCTATTGGCGCCTGATTTGCAGTGCTGAATGAGGTTGACTCTTGCTGCAGATGGTTGTACTGCTAGAAATTGGGGACTGAAAGTAAATATTGAGCAACTGAGTGTCTGTCCTCTCAGGCACAGTCAGGGGCCCTACTCTGGCAAAACCTTGCCCCTCAATGAACTTCAGTGAGAAGGGATGGGAGGCTAAAAGAGAAGACAGAGCAGGTTTTAGAATGTGGATGTGGTACTGAAGGCCACCTCAGCTAATTTGTCCTCATGTCAGGAATCCATGAGAAGATAGGAGCTGATTGCCTGGCAGCAAACAGTACACAACCCAGCGTTCACCTCCAGCTCTGAACCTCTTTTCCTCCTGGCAATGGAGGAGGATTTTTCCATCAACAGTGCAGAAAGCATTAAATGCCCTTCCTGTGTGCTGTTTGAACTCTGCTAGCCACTGCTCCTCACCTATGTTTCCAAATGACAGATGCAAGAGCCAGCACGAAGCCGGGGAGGAATTTAGGAGAAGGGCTCATTCTCAGCAGTGAGATTTGCTGCAGAGAGGTGAGCTGAGCTGGCCTGGCCCTGCAGCTTCCTCAGATCTCACATCCCCAATGCAGTATAAACCCTGGGAACTGGCTTCCTGTGGAACAAAGACCCCCCTGAGGACAAGACACTGGGAGGGTGAGAATTTAATAGCAAAAAAAACTTGTTTGTTTCCTGGGAAGCTGTTCCAAGCAAAAGATCTGCTGTGAAAACCCTCTTCGGTGATGACCCAGCAGCATTTCTGAAAAATCTTTATATCCCAAAGGATTTGCCTTCCCATCTTGTCTTTCAATAGTTCCAAAATTGGTAACTATTTTTTAACAGAAGCAGATGCTGCTTTTGCTCCTCATCAATCTTAGGCAGCTTCCTATCTAATAGGTGGTCTTAAAGAGGGGGAAAAAAAAGTAAAAAACTCAGCACGTTTCAAGTGTATTTAAAATGGCATCAGCTCCTCCTATTCCAGAGCAGAACTGCAGACTTCAGTCCAGAGCTGCTCGACTTGGCTGTAAGGAGGGTGTGAAGAAGTGCCGATATTCACCCTTCCTGGGCGGGTGAAGCAGCCTTTCACTGCTGCTGGAACAAGACCTGATTGTTACGTCCTCTTCCGTAAGGAAATGCTATTCCTGCTCCTGACTTTAAGGAAATGCTGTTAATGACAGGACCCTAAACCTGAAACTAAGTGGCAGGAAGGATACTGTTATCAAGTCTTGCCAGCTGTAGTGCTAAGTTGTCTCCAGAGGAACCTGATAAGGTACCAGACTGTTTTGCTTGTAGGGTTACGATTTTCTCCACTGTTTGGCATTATAATTATTTGTAGCAGTGATCCAAATAAAGGAAGGCAAACCAATAAAACAGGGAGTGCTCCTTCAGTTTGGCTGGTCAAGAAAGGTGTAATGGCCCTGAATTCCACAGGGAAGTGGGGAGTGCAGCCAAGTCTGCATGGACTCTGGCTGAATGCAGCCAAGTCAGGCATGGGGAGCTGAGCGTGATGTGCTAAGAGAATGGATCAGAGAATGTTTTCCCTTGTCCTTCAGATAGGTTGGAGGGAGAGTGGGAAGCTGTCGAGACTGGGGGCCAGTCTGCAGATAGCAGTGTGGCTGTGGGCCTTGGACCCTGCTCTAATCATAGAGACCCATATCAGGCCTCAGAGGTAAAAGGGGAAAGCAGCTCCTAAGAAGTCATTAGTAACAGAGACCACGATTTGGTTTTATCCTTGCTGGGATCCATGACTTCTGAGCTTGAGCTCAAAGCCTGACTCTAAGGCTTCTTCTTCCTTCTCTGTCCCATGTCTTGGGACCCAGGAGTGCTGGGATGTCAGGGACATACACCTCCCCAGAGCTTGGAAACAACATCAGTTAGTTGGTGAGCCCCCCAAGGTATGTATGTTTGAGACCTGGGGCTGGACGTGCTTCCTGCTATGCTTTGAAGAACCAGTGTAATGGTTCTGGGGGAGAAATCTCAGCTTTCCTCCTCCCTAACCTCTGCTCCCCATAGAAACAGTGGTAAAGGGCCATGCTCAGCATCATGTAACCCATCCTATCTGACATATTCTCAGATGTTGCACGCTGTGGAGGTGGGTGGGGAGCTTTGCTGTCCGTTCTGTGGTGGCTCAGTGGAAGGCAGCAGGTACCTGGAAAGCCCCCTTCCCTTGAACAAGAAATAAGTTTGAGTGCATATCTTTACATGTGGTATTTGCTGCCAGAGGTGACAGTGACTAACAGTTGCCACACAGTAGAGAGGAATGTAGAGCACTTCTGAAACACCTGGAAACCTTTTCTTTCTCCTGTTGTCTTGTTTGTATTGCAGAGTGGTTTTAATGATCGGTAGTGACCAACGACAAAGCAAAACATGCTTAGATTTTCTGTGAGAAGGTGTCCGTGTGTTGGCTGCTGCTGTTATTTTTGCTGTGTGTTATGGTAACACCAAGAAGTCACAGACAGGAATTAGGGCCCCACTACACGAGGCACAAGAACAATTGAGATTATCTCTGGCTTTCCTGTCTTCCTGAGGCAATCACAAAGCCAGCGTCTTGGGTGTGATCCATCTGAAAACTGTCAGGTAACAAAGCAGGATGGGGTAATTCAGAGCTCATAACCAAGCACTTCATTTGCCTGGGGCAGTGTTGCTGAGTCCTCTTTGCTGACAAATGTCCTCCTCCCACTGGTCCCTTGATCTTGATAGGGATTTTGTGTCACAGCCCAGCTTTCAGCTCCCGGGAGAGGTCCTGTTACCCTGGCAGATGCACCTTTCCTGCTCAGACCTCTTTTCTCCTCCCTGATCTTAGTGGGAGCCAAAGTTCTAACTTGTGTTATTCTGTCTGTTTTTAATTAGGAGTGTTGGAGGGTGGGATCGTGCATAAACTCTTGTTTAGAAACAGGTTTGTGTGCCTTGTATATATGGCAGTGCATTAGCAGCAGGTAAGGGGTGTTTTCACACATAAACAAGTATTTGGCAACACCAAATGATCTTAGCACCATCCAGAAGCTGAAAGGTAGGTGTACACACATTGAACAGATATGTTTACTGTCCTCCCCTTTTGGAGGAGGAACCACTCAGCTTTTGTAGCAGGCAGCTAGCTATGACACAGAACAGATGGGGATCCTGACCAGGGAGGGCTTCTCCAAGCTCAAGTGTTTCTGGAGGCAAAGAGGAGAGGCAGGAAGGCTTCTGGGTGACAGACAGTATAGGACTGCAACCACTTCATACCTATGAATGCTTCTCAGGCTTTGGGAAAATGACAGCAATGTGTCTGATTTTCCTCTCTTACATCTGATTGCGCTGCATTACGTTTAAAGTTGTTTTTCACTTAAGTTTATCTCACTACTTTTTTTCTCCCTGGCACTAGGCTTTGTACATGGGCTTGGGGGACCACTGTCCCAGGTCACTGCTGTGGTCCTCTCCACTCTTTTCTAGCTTTCTAATATGCTTCCAGGTCTTCTGCAGGCGTAACCCTGAGCCTCAGTCACCGCTTTCAGGGCAGCAATCGGGGAGCAGCTTGCTGCTAGGAGGCTGAAAGCTGTGCAGGGCTGCAAACAGAAAGCCCCGTGGATCCCTGTGGTTTCATTACTCCCCAGTTATCCACATACCATTTCCTTGCAGGCAGCTGGTCCAAGGTCACTTAAACAAAGGAAAGCCACTATCAGTGGATCTGTGGGTAGCATCCTGTTCCCAGCCCCAGCGGGTCGCAACAACAATAATGGATGTAAAATAAACAGCAGTCCCTCTGTGCTCTGTGTTCCTGCAGCAGCCTCTGGGAGCAGTTACACTCCAGTTGATGAACTGTTCTTCCACTTACTGTTCTGACTTTGCCTTTTTCAAGCAATACCCTAAGCTGAGCACTTGGAAACCTTAGCAAATAGCAGGGCTGGCCACTGGCACGCTGCATGAGGAAATCCCTCTTCACCAGCATCACGTTTCCACTGAAAGGAGATTTTGTTATGGCTGTGCTTGAAGGATGGTTTGTTGAGATATGTTTCTCCAGCAGAAATTTTCTTCTATCAACAGCATGAGTCTGCCTCCATGCCCTTGTGATTTTTGGTGTGGCTGTACCTTGGTAGAAGCAATCATTTTGTGGTGGTTTATTTATTTTTGTTCTACTTGTTTGATATGAGTTTTTTCCTTGTATTTTTTTTTTTTTTTTGCTTTATTTGAGGATGATGGGGATATTTTTATATTACAGAAGCCCAGGAAGGCACGCTGCATAAACAGTGAAGTAAGGTTTGAATTTTGTGCTAATTGAGACAGTAAGTCTCAGGAGTTTGCTTTGTGTGGACCCATTATTTCTGCTTCCATGTCTCTGGCCTGTGGATTAGCATATGCCTTTTAGTGGGAATGGCAGGTGGGGAGTCAAGAATCATTTGTTTGGTTCCCAGCATGTAGACGCTCTCCCCTCTGCACTGAGCATCCTTCTGCATTTCTGGCAGCTCCTTCCCATCCTTTTTTGTCAAGAGCATTTGTGAGCAGCTGCAGTTCCCTTTGCCTCATGACCTGTTGCCTAGAAGAAGACCAGCACTGCTCAGGATAGGTCTTACAGCTCTTTACAATTCACTGAAAGGATGTTGTAGCTAGGTGGGGGGAGAGTCGGTCTCCTCCTGAATAACAGACAGGATGAGAGGGAATTGCCTCAATTGTGCCAGGGGAGGTTCAGGTTGGATATTAGGAAAATCTTGAAAAGAGTGATCAGGCACTGGAATGGGCTGCACATGGAGGTTTTTGAGTCACTGTTCCTGGAAGTGTTCAAGTGTAGAAGTGGTACTAAGGTACATAGTTTGGAGGGCAGTATTGGTGGTAGGTGGATGGCTGGACTAGAACACCTTAGAGGTCTTGTCCAACCTCAATGATTCTGTGATTTTTCACAGGACTCCTCCATTCCATCATCCCTGGATTTTAACACTGTCTTTTTTTTCTTCCCTTTTCACTCCAGGGACATCCTGAAAAGAGGGGGCTCAGCTGTGGATGCTGCCATCGCTGGTTTGATCTGCACATCAGTGATGAACCCTCAGAGTTCAGGCCTGGGTGGTGGAGTCGTATTTACAATCTATAATGCAAGCACAGGTATGGGCCAGCCCTGCACTCTCCATGGTCAAATTCTTTCACGTTCTCTCAGAATAATTTCTTTTATATAAAAGCTGTATACAAAGACACACAAAATACACTTTTGCTCTTAATCCAAAGCATTAATTACAGGAGCTGTCCTGAAAGCTTTCAGCGCGCAGAGCAGGGCTGAAGAGTGCAGTTGTTTGCAGACTGAACATGTGGTGGTAGGGAAGGAGCTTTGAATGTAAAATGAACTGACTGCACCTTTCCTTGGCATGTAAAGTGATCCCAAATCATATTTGAAAGTCATATATCTGAGTGGTACAGCAAGATTTGAATGGTCCTGTCCGAGCTGCCACTTGGAGGGAGCACTGCCATGGCAGGAGCTGGGAGTGGAGCAAGATGTATGTGCTGGCAGTGAGGGCAGCAGCCCAGGGTTGTCACTGGTTTGGTGGAGCCCTGGGGGTAAGACTTAATGGGTTTGGCCTGCAGCAGCAGCAGCAGCTCCAGCAGAACCTGCTGCCATGGGGAGCATCTCACAGTATCACTGGTGGGGAGGGGGGAGGGGGTCAGACTCCCCAGAGTGGTGCTGAAATCTCCTGCTCCAGAGGATGCATCTTCTGTTCAGAAATTTGAATCCAGCAATTTTCAGGGCCTGCTGGGAAGTACTTCTCTGCTCGGTTTAATCTCTTGCATTACTGTGTTCTTGCTTTTATGTTTTAATGCTTTTTAAATTGCCTTGGCTACCAAAACCCCCCAGAGCTTATAGATGTTGACGGACAAAATAACAATATCATAGTTTTAAAAACCCTTCCAAGTAGTATCATGGAATTGCAAGTCTGGAAATTCTCAGTCGTTTCTTAAGCAATAGCATAATTTGGCAAAGCACCTATATTTTTTTCCCTCTTTTGGCAGAGCCACTTTCCCAACAACCCTTCTCTTCTGCTACCCACATTATCCTGCTTGTGCAGAGCCCTAGGTGGCCAGGCATGGCTCTCGTCCGTGGTACAGCAACACCATGGGCTACTGCAGCACAGACAGCTCTGTGGCCTGCAGTGGAAAAAGACAGATAGAAGGCAGATAAGGAGGAGAAATAATTAGGCTACACCTGAAATACAAGTGTGTGACTGTTCCTTTTTTCTTTTCAAGTTTCTTGAGACCTAGGTATTGCTAACATGGTACGAACATGACCTTGCCTCAACATCACTTGGAAAATGACCTATCTAGTAGCATGAGACTCAAGTTTTGTCTCTGACATTTCCCACCTGCAGAGGAAATGCAAGAAGATGCATCAGATGTGAAGCAGCATATCCCAGATGTTGGGATACAGATGCTGGCCTTGTCCATGCACCATTATTGCATCTAGGCAGGCACCGGTCAGTCTGCTGAGCTGACTTGCTGGGTGATATTCACCTGCCTTTTGGAAGAGATTGTTATGCATTTTCTCCTTCTCTTTTCTAGGAACAGTCGAGGTGATCAATGCCCGTGAAACAGCTCCCCAAGGCATTCCTAGCGATCTGCTGTCTGGCTGTGCTCGTTTACCCATCGGTAAGGACCTCAGAGTGTGTAGTGCACAGAAGGAAGGATGGAGGAACTGGGGACCTTCCTCTTTGTCTAAATTGCTGAGCTTCAGATCTGCTTAGCTATCTCTTTATCACTTCACTACCATTTGCAGTCACTCCATGTCCATTTGCTCTCACCAGTTGGCAGCAGGCACTCTTACTTTAGCAGCACCTCTTGGATCTTTCCGCGTTTCTTGCTGTATCCATTCTCCTTCCCTAGCACATTCTGTTTTGGGGAGTGTCCTTGTTCCTGGAGGAGATTTTCTTGCCCTTAGAAGAACAGGAATCACAAATGATTCTGGTTGGAGGTTTCTGCTCCAACTCCTGCTTAAAGTAGGGTAATGTCAGAACTAGAGCAGGCTGCTCAGGGCCTTATGTTGTCACATTTTTTTATCTTCTCTGAGGATGGAGAGTTTCACAGCCTATGTGAACAGTCTATGAATCCATACTTTGAGTGCTTTCAGAGAGTTGTACTCCACAGGCCAGTGATTTACCAGGTGTAACACTGCAGTTCTGCTCTCCAGGTCCCCGATGGATTGCTGTACCAGGAGAAATTCGTGGGTATGAAGTAGCCCATAAGCGATACGGCCGCTTGCCATGGAAATCCCTGTTTGAACCAACCATCAAGCTCCTTTCAGACCCACTTGTTGTTTCCCCAGTTATGGACAAAATAATCAATCACCGAAACTTCTCCCAAGTGGGACGAAACCTGTGGTAAGACCCACAAATTAAATTGAAGTGCAAGGAACAGTGCTCCCTCAGTTCAGACCATTCTGCTAACATATAGCACAGGCTGCTGCAGCTGCTGCTCAGTAAGTGCTTGCTATGGAGAGAGAATAACAGAAATGTTTGTTTTGGAAATCTTATACTGTCAGCAACTTTTTTTTGTTTTGTTTTGTTCATAGTGGCTTGGCACAGCAAAACTTTTTGCTAAGCACATCTGCTCATGAGAGCTGGATGGATGTAGCCTGCCTCTGTCTGTGTGGAAATTGTCCCCTGACAGCAGGGCCCTACAGCAGGCACTTATTCAGGGAAGCCACGCTGGTCTGAGCTGGGGTCAAAGCATTAGGTCTCATGGAGGAAACTCTGTCTATGGGAAAATGGGCCTGGTGTTGTGAGTAGCAGTTGGCTACTTTTCTCCATGTATGCTGCAATATAGCACTGCTCTGGAAAGTATATGACATCCAGAAACTAAATCTGCTCTAGGTAGGAAAGAGGGTCTGGCACTGGGAACAGAATAAGCATATTCTGTAATCTGATGGATGTTCTTCTTTAACAGCCCGTTGATTTGTGATGGTCAGAAGTTTTTGACGACTGGAAAGACTTTCAGGTGGCCAGCACTGCAGCAGACACTGAAAATTTTGGCCGAAAATGGAGCTACAGCGTTTTATGAGGGACAGATAGGAGAGGCCCTGGTGGAAGACATTAGGAAAGTTGGTAGGTAACAGCTACATTTTAATACTAGCAGACAGGCTTCTTCCCACAACTGGATGACAGTGAGGAGGTATCTGGGGATAGCCAGAATATGGCAATTACTCATTTCTTGAGGTGATACAGGGTGAACATCTTTCCCCTATTCTCATAACTTAGGCCCAAAAGCAGGGATGAGAGCCAACCACTACTCTGGTATTTGCCCGTAGCACTCATATATTGGCCTTTTCAGTTCCCTTGGGCTTTATAATGTCCTAGAGTTTTGTGTTAGATAAGAGCACAAGAAGTCTCTGTTGTGCTAGGTAGAAGAAATTCAGTGTACAGAAATGGCTCTTCAGAAAGCTTCCCAAGGCTCTGATGTGTCCAGCCAGTAGCACCTGTTAGAAGCTTACGTTAACATGCTAATGATAGCTGTCTCTTTGGTTTTCTGTTGAAGGGTCTGTTATCTCAATGGAGGACCTTAAGGCATACAAAGCAGAAGTATCCTCAGCTCTGAACATTACCCTGAACAAAAACACCACTGTGTTTTCTCCTCCTCCGCCCTTGGGAGGTGCTGTGCTACTGTTCATCCTCAAGATATTGGAAGGTAAATTGCTAAGAGAAAGTGTGCTGCAAGAGGTTTGCAAAGAGAACTGATCTAGAGCATTAGAAAATGAATTAGCAGAAAGGGTCTTGGTGAGCCAGTGTGGACTCCAAAGCAGCATTATGGTTATGCTGTGCAACAGGATGAGGAACTGGCTCATTCTTACAGTGTTCTAGCATCAGGAAAGTGTTTTCTCTGAAAGAGTGGTCACAGTATTGGAACAGGCTGCTCACTGAACTGGTAGAGTTGCTGTCCCTGATGATGTCCAAGTGCAGAAGTGGCACTGAGGGAAATGGTTTGGTGGGCACGGTGTTGGTGGGCTGATGGTTGGACTTAGATGGTCTTAGGGGTCTTTTCCAACCTTAATGATTCTGTGATTCTCTTCTATGAAGTGAACTGGGGAAAGGAGGCTCCTTTAAACATTTTATAAAATTCTTCAAGAAAAAGCAATGGCCAGTGGGTCCATTAACCAAATTGAATCCATCCTCCTTTTTAGAGTATAAATTCCATGAGGCATCATTGTCGACACCAAAGGAAAAGGGAGAAACCTACCATCTTATTGCAGAGGCCTTGAAGTTTGGCAATATGCTAAAACCTGAGATGAAAGATCCAACCTTCTCTGAAGCTAAGGTAAGCTACTGTAGTGCACGGAGAGTATTGACAGACACCAGCAACACTGGCAGCTTCTTCTGTACTGCTTGAAAGAAGAGAAACAAAGGAGTCCATATGCTTTCCCTTTCCTTTTTTTTTCCCTTTCCTTACCTGCATTCTCCCAAACATATTCTAGCCTATGTGCTAAGCCCTCATGGAGGCTACCTATTGTCCAGGCTACCCTGCCTGCCAGCACAGTGCTACAGCACCAGGTGATGCACTGAACCCTCCTGCCTTGCAGCCACAGAAGGAAAGAGACTATTTGGAATTGCTACTCAATAGCAACATTGATCAGCTGGCCAAGTGTTGTGCTTTAACCCCTGCAGGCAGCTCAGCACCACTCAGCCACTCTTACCCAGATGAGATGGGGGAGAATCAGAAATATGAAAGTATAAGAACTCGTGAGTTGAAGTAGAGACAGTTTACTTGGTAAAGCAAAACAAGGAATTCATTTGCTACTTCCTACTGCAGGCAGGTGTTCAGCCATTCCCAGCAAAGCAGTGCTTATCATGTGTGATGGTTTGTTTGGAAGACAAATGGCAACGCTTTGAATGTCCCCCTCTTTTTCCTTCATTCCCTCTGCTTTATTGATGAAGCGTGTTGATGGTACAGGCCCTTGCTGTGATTACAGGCAACTGTGGCAATCATGCTGTCCAACGGGACTGCTGAGCGTGTCAGAAGCCAAATAGATGCCCGTGGGGACCATCCACTTGAGCATTATAACTTCTGGAAGCTCGTCCACAGCCACTATGAAAGTAGAGGCACAAGCCACATCTCTGTGCTCGCTGCAGATGGCAGTGCTGTGTCTGCCACCAGCACCATCAACTATCCGTGAGTAGCCAGGGGGTTGGTATTTCACTAACACAGGCCTCACAGTCTTACAGGATATATGCAAGGGCTGTTTAACACCAATGAAAAAAAATAAAAACAACCAAAGTTTTCAGCGATTCAAGCAATTTCTTGCTTGTGAATGCTCTTTTTCATGTGATGGCAAAGGCCTTTGAGAATCAGCCCAAAGCAACACCTCAGTTCACAAACGTAACAACTTCTGGAGCTCTGCTGAGGTTCTGTGGGTTGAGCAAGTCCCCACTGCACTTGTCAGAAATAAGCTCTCTGTAACTCCTGCACAACAAACCAAATACGTTTTGGAAACCTTGGTTGGAGTGGCTGCAGGTTGGCAGAAGGCAGGGGTAACCCAGCAGGGTGCCACATTAAGCTAATGTCATCCACAGTGGAAGAGCACTGGTTGCTTAAAGGATGCTTTCTTCCTCCCTGCAGGTTTGGCTCCTTCATTTATTCCAACCAGACTGGGATCATTTTGAATAATGAACTTGCAGATTTCTGCACAGCAAATGCAAATATTAATGCAGGTGAGCATTCTCAACCTCAAAATAGACAACAAGGCCAGAAGATGGAGAATCAGGCTATGTACGAATGGACAGGAGCTATCTACAAACTGTAGGCAATCTTTACTTTTCAAAGTCTAGATGAGAGCAAGTTTATCTCGGACTAAGAGAGGATAAAGTCTTGTAGTGTCTGTTCACATCAGCATGGAAACACAGAAGTTTTGGTTTCTGCCAAGGGAAATTAGGGATTTAAAGAAAAAATGCAGAAGCTAATGAAGAAGTAGGGAAGAGAGTTAGGGAAGAGAAGAAGTAAAGCAACCACTTAACATGGGTTTGTGAAATAAGCTGTTCCTGATGCAAGCTGCCTTGGGTTTGCAAAGAAAGAGGACATCAGCATTCCAAGGGCAGGATTGCAGCTAATTGATCCTTATCTGGGTTGAATGACCTGCAGCAAGTCTTGATTATTTGCATGGCACTCTGTCCTTCCTGTTTAGCCTCTACTGTAAAGGGCCAGTTTCTTGTGAGGTAGGGTCTCAGCACAAGCCATCTAGATGTCTGGAAAACTTGGGCCTCGTGAGGAATGAGGGTGGTTCTCCATGAGGAATGCACAGCTGGGAGAAATGAATCTGTGTGCCCTAATACAGGAGGTATAATACTTTCTGCCTTTGCCCTAGGAGAGAGGCCTCCCTCAGCAATGGTGCCTTCTATCCTCATCTCCAAGTCAGGAGACATGCTGGTGATTGGAGGGGCAGGAGGGGGCTGGATTATCAGTGCTACTGCTATGGTGAGTGAAGAGGTACTGCACAGGAACACCTTGCACCAATCGGCTTGAGAGCTAAACAAAAGAAACATTTGCTGCTGATAGTACTGTTAAGTGGGCAGCAGAGAAGAGGGCCTGCTGCAAACAGTCCATCCTCACCTTCTTGCTTTTAGCTTTTCTCTGTTGGACTGTAATTCCACCAGGAGGGAATAGGAATGGGGGGAGGTAGGGGAACCCACAGCATTTGCCAGCTCTTTCAACCCTCTCAGACTTCCAGCATAGTCAATCCCCACTTGTTCTTTTCTACTCAGTTCTTTTTGGATTTTGACTCCTTGGTGCTTTGTTCTGTTTTCAGTTTAGAAGTCTCTAATAGCTGCAGGTTGCAGGTTAGAGCAAGTGGTAGCTGACTCCCTTGCTTCTTTTTTGAAAGGGAAGAAGCTGAAAGAATTAAAGAGCAAGTTAAGGAAGTTATTAGGAAGAAAAGCATTGCCCCAAACCTCATGGTAACCAATAAGTTACCTGATGGAAACAAACAGTCACAACAATGAGCCACCTCCATGCATACGCAGAGAGTAACACATCTTAAAGAAAAAAAACTTACAGAAGCATGAAGTCTAATAAACATAAGTTTTCTTTCTGTCTTCATCTGGAAAGAAGCATAGGAAGTATTCCAACCTAAGACTTTATTTCTGGACAGCCAGAGTCAGCAAAGGTGGCAGGACGAATAAATAAGCAGTAGCAGAATCAGAAAAAAATTATACCAAGATCTGAAATGTAATCTCCCATCAGTCTGCTTCAGTACCAGAGGATAAAAGATGGTAACTGTGACCCAAGCCTTAAAAAGAATTATAGAGAAAAAAAGCTAGTAAATGATGGGGAAAAAAGGTACAAACTATATCAAATAATAGAATTAATAGACAAACACAGCTGTAATAAGTTGAGAAAGTCAATGTAAAACAAGGTAATGCATCACAAAATACTGTAACTTGAACTGGAGTACTAAGAGTGAAGGCTTTCATACACCAGTAACTGTTTAAATTTCTGTAAAAGCAGAGAAGGAAAAAAAGTGAACTGTTTTCTCAGGGAGGAAGCTCACCAGGGATGTCCAGTAAAGATCTGAGATGATCATTATACAGTACTGCATACTCCCAAGCAATCTAGAAAAGCAGCTTTTGTGAGTTGGTGGTGGATACTGGTGGAACTGCACTGCATCTATATGGACCACAGCTATGGGGCAGGGATATGAAACAGCCTTAGGGCTGTAGTGATTAAAATAGGCTAGGACTCTTCAGGGTGGAGATGATGATGGTGAAGGATACATTAGAATTCTGAAAAGCTAGTGACTTGGAGAAGTGAAGAAAGGATTCTTCACTGTCTCTGATACCAGAGAATAGAACAAAAGAAGATTATCTGGTTCAAAAAACCTGTAAACATAACATACAATTTTGCTGCAGAACTTCTCTGTACAGGACTTTTTCTGTAAAATATGAAAATAGAAAGAACAACCATCAACACGTGGTTCAGGTTCTTATTCCATATCTTCAGTTAGCATGCAGTTTGTTTCATTGCAGGCCATTGTAAACAAGCTGTGGTTTGGTTATGATTTGGAACGTGCCATTTCATCTCCCATCATGCATACCAACAAAGACAGCATCCTGTTTGAGAAACACTTCAGTGAGGTGAGCAGCCTTGGTTGGATCTTCCCTTCATCATCTCCTTTTGATGGGAAGGAGATTGGACTCTGTAACTCTCCTGAATAATCTGCATTTTGCTTCTAGCTTAACCTCCTTCTTCCTTGAATCGTGCTCTCTTGACCTGACCTTGCACATACATACTTCATTTCCACACATGGCAATGCTAAGACCTCAGGTTCCTGCCCCATTTACTCCATTTTTTTTCTTCTGCAGGATGTTAGAAACAACCTGCTGAAAAGAGGACACAAAGAACAGAAAGTTGAATTCGCAATGAATGTCGTGCAGGGAGTTTCCAAGGAAGGAAAATGCATCTCTGCTTACTCTGATAAAAGGAAGCTGGGGAAATCAGCTGGATATTAGCATGAAATGCCATCTCAACGTCTCTATTCTAATCCAAACCACAGGAGATAACTAAATTCAGATTCATGCATCTTCCACTGCTGCTCGAGAGCCTCGGTTAAGAACAGAATTGGTTTCTTTCAGGCTGTTGCCATGATAAGCTTCTTCTAATTGCTGGGGCTCAGCAATGTGAATTAACTGAGTAACTATAGGAAATGTCAGTAGGGTGAGGGTTACAACGTATACAATTACATTGGGGCTTCCAGGGTGGGTTTAGAAAGAGAAGAAAGCAAAACTTTGTGTTCTACCTCTTGGTTTTCCCATCCAGATGAGCCTTACTTTTCTCAAAGAATGGCAGATGGAATCAGTGCACCATAGCACCAGCTTACTGCCAAGCATGTTCTCTACTTTAGAGACATAATGGAAACCAGGAGCTGAAGCCTTATTCTACTCTGCCTACTGGTCACCTAAAGTCTAAACCTCCTATGGGGCAATGTGAAGTTGCTGCTTCGCTCCTTGATGACACCTCTCCCTGTAGTAGGAGAGTCCTCATTTATGCCTGTTCTTCCTCCTCATTGCCTGCAGAAGAGAAGTAGTTTGGGAAGACAGATAAAGACAGCAGTTGAAGAAAAACTGTATTGCTTCTGAAGCTTTATAAAACTTCCTTCGAAATGCAAAGGATATATAATCAGAAGACTTATTTTGTAGGCATGAGCTTCTTCTGGACAGGCAAACACCAAGACTGCTGAAAAGTGCTGATGCAGTTGCAAAACACCTTTCTTAGCCTGAGTACATGCTCTAATTCTCTGTTTATTACAAATAGTCTCAAATGTTCCCTGAAGATGACAAGAATGAAACTGCATGACTAGTTAGGAGCTTCTGGAGGAGAGATCTGAACACGTTTATCTGGATACAAGAGGTCCTTTGCCATTACCCTGTAACCTTGCCCTTCTTAGGATGGCCAAAGGAATTTAATGTTAAAACAAGTATAAACATCTCACAATGCATTTCTCAAATAACCAAAAACTTCTGTTTTCTGAAAGCTTGTGAATGTTACTTTCCTATGGATGCAGACAGTATTATATGAGTGTTTCTGACAGCAAAGTTAAACTAGGTAGGCACTAGCAGAGCCCTCCTTACCCCCCATGATTGTCACCTCCCATGCAGCCCTTGGTATTTCAACTGCACAAACAAAAAACCTTGCTCTGTGGCCACCAATAGCAAGTATTTGAGCACAGGCAATTAAAGCAAACTCAGACCAGACCATCTGCCTGCACTGTTGTAAAGAAAGAGAGGTGAGTAATGAGTCTACATTCTTAACAACAAAATTTTGTCAGTAAGTCATTGACTTGTTGAAACCTTGGCCTTCAGATGAATTTCAATGATTTTCTAAGTAAAGCTCTCTAGATCCAGACAGAGTAGCCAGACTACTCAGGATCCTGGCTTTAACAAGATCTGCATTTATTTCTAGCTTGACCAACTGCTTAGGGCTTACAGAAAAGCAACCAAAATGACACTGGCTGAAGGCAGGGGGAGCAGCTCTTGCTTTGCTATTAAACCATGCCCCATCACGTCTCACTTCCAGAAAAACCAAGCCATAAAGCAACTGATTCTCCTAATTCCTTTCATTTCATTACCAAAGGGTAAAGCACACCTCAGTTATCCAGCCAGTGCAGTGTATCACCTTTCCAATATCTGCCATCACTGCAACGTCTCACAAGGAAGCTACGGGAATATTATCTTCTGACCAGCACTTGCTGCAATTTAACTGCTTTGCTATTAACACTGAAACCAATTGAGCTGTTTCAGAACCTGTCACAGATTTCATCTGCAAGGCAGAAAGGAATGCATGCAGACTGCCCACTGTGGCAGCCCTCACTGACAAACAAAACATCTCGTGAAGCTGAAATCTGTACCTCCTCCTCACCCTGCCACCTCCTCAGTGCTCCAGAAACTCAGAGTCTCCCAGGTTCATCCCTCCCCATTCATGCTGATGCCAACAGAAGAGCATTATTTTTATAACTAGTCAAGTCACATGGACTTTTAAAGCACTGCTGTACATAAGCTGCTCTGTTTTCTAACAAGATCTTTAAATTATATTTTTAATAAAGTGTTTTAAACCTTAAACTGTTCCCTAGCTCAGAGCACAAGCAGTTGTTTGAGAGAGGACTTACCTCCTTACTTTCACTGACATTCACCTACTGATACAGAGCCTCAATGCAGCATGAATTGAATGTGGAACCAAAGCAGCTGGGAGATGTGCATGCCCTATGTACAGCTACATCCAAGTGAGAAGCAGATGGATGCCACAGCATGGGTGAGTGTCTACAGCCTGCTTAAAAAAAAAAAAAAAAGTGTAGGATGTAGATTCAAGCCTTTAGTTTTATGTTTAGTTTTATAAATGAGCCCTTTGTAGCGATACTGATAAACAAACATATTAAAAAAGCCCAAGCCAATGGTTCTGTAGAGCAAAGAATTCAAATGCACTTATAATAATCATTTGAAACAGAAGTGTGGTTAGCCATGATGAAAACTAAACTTTCCAGAAGGGAAATTTTGTAAAATAGGTTATAAATAGGGAATTTTCCTCACCAGATACAGTAAATTCAGGAAGGAAAGAGTGACTTATGTGCCTCAAACTGCTAGAAGCAGTTCAGCAGAAGTTTTTCATGTTTGTCACTTCCCAGAAGCCAGTTATCCCCATTTCTGAGCACATGCTACACTAACTGCAGTGACTGTGTCAATGCATCACCTCCACTGGCACAGATGTTGATGAACACAGCGTGCAGGCTGTTGTTCATTGCTGGTGAAAAAATACAGCTGATGGTGGTGACTGTTTTGAAAAATATGTCTTCAGAGATGAGAATTTGCTCTAACAAACAGCATTACTGTGCTCTTTGTATCTGTTGTGGTTTCTATGAAAACAAATAGGAGGCATTACTTTCAGAGCAACCTCTATCTTTCTCAGATCTCACTTGGCCAAGAAAGCTCAGCTTGTTTTATGTCCAAAGAGCCAAGTACTCCCTGCAAGTATCACAGCTGCCGCTGCAGCACACAGCCCTGTATCCAAACTTCCTACAATACACCTGCACACTGGATTTCTACTGCAGCCTGCCACTGAGGAACAGCTATCCTGGCATTACAAGAGGTGGAACAGTCGAAGTCACAGTTCTGCAAAAGGAAAACAACCCAACAACATCAAGGTTTGGCCTCACACCAATTTTGTTCTTCCAGGAACACAATGACTGCATTGTTCACAATTAATTACTGCCTTAGCTGCACTGAACACCTCCTCATCAGTAACAGCTGAGGAAGAAGACATCCAGAGTTCATCCCAGGCTCCTTTCAGTAAAAGTCACTTATTTAGTTGGAGTTATATAAGCACATACATTCCTCAGTGTCATAACCCTATCAAAAGCATCATCTATCTCACTATCACTGAAGACTCACATCAATTCCAGCAAGTACTGAGACAGAGGCAGCATGTAATGCCTACAGTTTCAGGCTTTCATTTTCTCTTCAGTACGTTCTGTATTTTGAGCCTCTTACAGTCTGACAGGAAGTTTCCACCAGCCAAACAGATGCAATTAGTTACTATTACCACTGTTTCCAGGATTTCATAAACACCCCTTAAAGCCTGACAGCATCTGGGAACACTCATTTCTTGATCTTAGGCAAAGTTTATATGACGTGGTATTTCAGTCCATGCTGGTAAGAGAACACCAACACCTACCTGTGTGTAGGCACTGACACTGTTATCCATTCCAAATCAGATACAGATTACTGAGAGCTCACTGACTGATTAACTACAGCTTACCTTCAAACGACCAGCTACAGCATGCTTTTTAGAGGCTTAATTTCCTCAGAATCCAGGCCTGCAGTATGATGGGGTAGGAAGCAAGCTGGAGAAAGAACACGTTTGTTTTGGATATTTAATTATATGTATTTTTTCACTCATAGCTTCAACAAGAAAACAAAATCTCAGGAGAACTTTGTTCATGGAGACTCTCACCATCCCTTTTGGTAACATCAGCTGTATGGGCAAGAAAAAATATGTGACACCATTTTTATTTGTTTTAGTTGTGCTCAGTTTTACAGGTAGCATCCTCCCTTTAGACCTTCTCAACGAAAACATAAGAAAGGTTGAAGCCATTTCCCCTGTTATCCACTCATCTCCAACAATCAGCTGAAGTGAAAAGCAGAAAAACATCTTGTTTTAAAAAAAAAAAACAAAGAGCAGTGAGTTTGTGAAGGTTTATCCCAGTTTGAGCCAAGCTCCCTCCTATAGCAAGGGTCTATTAGTTTGTCCTCGGGGTCCTGCAACTCCTGTCTACACCAATAAGAAGAAATCTCTTCTCTAGCTGTGACAGAGACATTCCTCCTAGCTGAAACACTTCTGGGATGGAGAGGAAGCAGGAATCAAACTCTTCAAGGCAGAACAGACTTTCCAAGTAGGTCGCATCCTGGTTTGTTTCAGCACACTGCTGTGGCACGAGGCACTTCAGTTGTGATTGTTGAGAACCAAAGTCCCAGTTCTGTCAATAGAACCACAGGCAAATTTGCTCCCTTTCCTGTTAAAGTCCCTGCATTGCAGACCTGAAGGATCTCTCTCCCAGCCACACCTCAGTGTCACTAGTGCCCTGATGAAGAAGAGCTGAGCTGGGTCAGTAGCCTGCAGGGATGCCACCTTTCCGGGAATCAGAGGCTGCAGCCCATCCATCATCTGTTCTGAGAACGGCTTGCACAACCGAAATGCCGCTGCCCCCCCGTGTGGTGTTGTGTTTTCTCATCCGTAGTTGTTCTTCTACACCCTGAAACGCAGAAGTGCATGAGGACAACAGGAGAGAGAAACTGCACATGGGCTGGATTCTGTGTCCTGAATCCTCCACGCCTACCCCAGCATGCAATGCCTGCTTTATGTAGGTCTCCTAGAACTATAAGCTGTTCCTCTTCTGCGGGACTGAGACTAAAAGTACACTCGAACAGCCCAGCACTGACCTGTCAGCTTTAGTGCTGCTCCCCTAAGAACATTTGGCAACACATAATAATTTTCCACACACGTCTTCCCAACACTCTGGATCAGCACCAGACAAAAAGCTCACAACACCCCAGCCTCAAATCAGACAAACCTCCTCTATTTGCTCCTCAAGCTCTGTGACATCAGGAAACAGCTGATCGTGAATTCTGGGCTCTTCCACTGCTTTCTTCACATCATAACCAAACCAGACGGAATTGATGACCGCCTGTGAGATGCAAAAAGCCTTAATGTTAGCTCCTTGCCTTCAAAGGGACTTGATCCTTGCAGCAACAAAGGCAGAGATTTCTGAAGGATGTTCACTAGAGAACATAGAGGATGTAAATTGTAGTTCCCTCTTCTTCCAGCGCTCCCTTTCATGGGTACATTGCAGCAAGTCAGGCTGTATATACTTAGGATGATTCCTTCACAAAGAGACCATGAGTGGCTAAAATGAACACAGGAGAAGGATCAGACCCTCAGGCTACTGTAGCTGGATTTATCCTACTGTGAGTAAGGCACTGCTGGCTTGTTTGGCTCACAGCAGTCTCCTCAGTGTAAACATACACTTACAGCTTCTCACTGCTGTGCAACTGGTTTTCTTAAACCTGGCCCATCCCCACTTGCTAAGTTCACAGCTTGAAGCTGCTGGCAAGTGAAAATAGCCTTAGCATCAAGAATTTCAGAAGCTGCTTGTAACAACACTTCTTGCAGAAACTTCAGCTCTACCTTAGCTAGAAAGCAGGACCCAGTGTGACGCTGTGAATGGCTGTGCACTTGCACAAGGAGGCAGCTTTCTCCCATTGTTACTTTGGGTGTAACTGGGCTCTTGGAAGTGATAAGAACAACTTGCCAAAGGAAAAGACCCAGAGTCATGGGAGGGAGTAATTGTGAGAGACTCTTTGTCTGTTTGGCAGGAGTTGGGTTTGGAGGTCTGGTCCTCTGAAGGCCAGGCAGGACCCTCTCTTTCAGCACCCAGGCTTGCAGCAGGAAGCCATAGCTACGGTCACATCACAGGCAGAGACTTGAATCCTTTACCCCAAACACTGCCTCCCCCCAACTTTGCTTTGTCCACATCATCACATACCAGTGCTGTTGCTGTGGTTATTTTTGCTCCTCCAGAAGCACCAACCACCATCCTGATCTTTTTTGTTTTATCCACCAAAATGGAAGGGCACATGGAGGACAGTGGCTGTTTACCTGTTGGGGACACAGATTCAACAAAGGCTCAGTTTTCTGCCTGTAATTTACAGACTGCCAGCTCCCGCTGCACATCTAAACCCAAAGTTTCCATACCCATTTTCCTAACTCATCTTGTGTTTTGTTGATCCCCTGAGTGTCCCACTGTCCCCTATACACATCTCCTCCTTGCTCCCATAATACAAAGTTTAACCCTGGTCTTCTGTGCAGGGGGGCTGAAGGCTCCTTCATCTATGGTGCTGTTTCAGTTGGGGCTATCTGTCACACAGCTGCCTCTCCAACACCACAGGACTTCCCTTTCTGTCCTCTCACTTCCCTGTCTCCTTCCAAAGCATAGGTACAGGAAGGTGGTAGAATCCCAGCCCACATTAGCTGCAGTGAGATGGCTCTGAAGGAAGCAGTGATGGAGCAGGGAGGGAGCTTAAGTTAGGAGCATGAAATGGATCTACCTGCAGCTGCCCTCCAGATCCCAGTGGAGCACAGAGAGACAGCTGACAGTGCATACTAATGCAAGATACAGCTTCAACAATCAGATAGCGAGGTAGTTTACAGCTACCTGGTTCTATGAAATTTGCTGGAGAAGGAGGGATCCCAAATCCATTGATAATGTGAGGTGAGCTGAAGTCATCCATCTCATCATTATATATGATTCCATTCACACTGGATAGTATATCAGAGCCAAAGCTAGACAAAACAAGTTGGCACAGACATGTCAAAACCGGGAAGAACTTCAGGTGAATTACTGCAATGTGAAACCTGGGAGTAAATTTCCACTCCCTTCTGCTGGAAAGGACATTCCGTCACCCTTTGCGGGGAAGGAAGCAGTTCATACCAGGAACACACATCTACACAAAGAGGAAAGGCAGACCCAGAGTGCTGCTGCATAGCTCCCCTGCACGGAACATGAAGACAGAAACACTACAGCAAAGAAATACAACTAATTCCCTTCCCAGCCAGGCAGTCCTGCACTCCTTTCAGAGGCAACATAACTCAAAGGCAGCCACATTTGGAAACGGTTGGCATTTTGCTTAGATGTGTCAAGCAAGAGACTTTTTCTAAGGACAGGAAAAAACCCTCCTCCCTTTCCTCCCCTCTTTCCCCCCAGCTTTAGGCCATATTTACAGAACACAGCTCTTCCTGACAGAACCCGAAGCCAAACACTGCACTTTCAGGCCAGCTGCATTAACTCAAATTCCTTCCAGATGCCTGGGAAATCAGAGCCTGCAGCGACAACAGCGCTTATGGGAAAACCCAGATGCAGTGGATGTTTCCTTGGTGGGTGAACCCAACACAACAGAGGACAGAATCCCACTTCACACATCTCGTGCTCTGACCCAACTACATAAGTCTCAGCAATAAGAACTGACCTACACGCTCAGCACTACAAGTGCCTATTAACAGTGCTACCCACCACTGCCCTGCTACAGAGATGACAGTTCAGTGAGGTTTCATACCAACCACGGAACCACCACTAGGAAGATGGCAGAGGCCTACACAGAAGCAAGATCTGAGCTCATACTATTGGTTGATGGTGCTGGTGGCGGACACAGCACTGCCATCATCAGCCACAATGGAGAGGTGGGATGTGCCGGCACTATCTGCAGTGTAATATTCTGGCTCGTAGTATTCAATTGGATGGGAGGTGTTGTCTGTGATTTTCCTTCGGAGACTATCCGCAAAGAACTCAGACGTCATGTTTCTGATTGCCTGTCGGAGAAATCCAATGCAGTTACTCAGCAGATTAAGAGCCATGCAGTTACGAGGCTGATATCCAACACTTCAGACCATAGAAGAGTGGCAAATCCCAGCAGTGAGGCTATAGTTTTCCAGCAGGGGTTTTCCTTCTTCTTGAAAGATGGACATTGTACCAAAGAGCATTTTAAGCAGTCACGGAAGAAGCTGCACAATGTACCCCTCTGTGTGGGAATTTAATCAGTATCCGTTACTGTAGATCTATGGAAAGCTGTCCTCAACACTGCTGTAAAGGTGTAGGCAAGCACTGCTACACTTGCTTCAGAGATGAGAGAAGAGGGATCAGGTTGAGAGGACTAGACCAAGGCTCTGGTCATTGCGTGGTAAGCTGCAAATTGTGTCCATCAGGCTGGGCTGTGCTCAGATCCTGCTGCTTTTGGAGACTCACGAAGTAAAAGCACAAAGTATGAAGTTGGGAAAAGCAGGGATCCTGCCTCACCCCCTCCCATCCGTAGGTTCACTTACTATAGGCAGGACTGTGGCTAGAGAGCAACAGGGGTGCTGGGAGTATCATATATTGAATAAGGCTCCAAAGACTAAAAAAACAGGGAGGGTTAGCTCTGACCAAACTCAAGTGCTCCTGGTCAATTGAGGATTTTGTGTTTCCTAAAAGCAGAAAAGTTTCCTCCATTTATATCCCTCACAGCTTAGCCACTTGATATTCAGAGATATTTCAGTGCCTGTTTAGTCACCCAAAACCAAAGTGTCATGTTCCAGTCAGCCTGGGTGTTGCAGAAAGAAAAGGCTTTTGCCAGGTACCTCTGTAACGTTGACAAACTTTGGATCTCCCAGCAAAGTCCTCTTGGCGTAGGCAAAGCGAAAGGCCTCCGCGATGCGGTGGTACGTCAGACCTTTCTCCTCCACAGTTTTGATGCTGTCAGCAGAGAAATTATATCCTGGCAACAGAAGACAAACCATTGTGAACACAAAGGAAGAGACGTACTCCATGGGGCGCTAATAAAACTGTCAGGTGGGGCCATCTTGAAACTTGGTCTCTACTCCTACTGCCTGTATGGCACTGCTCAGTGGCACTCTTACCTTTCAGTATGTTGAAAATGAGGGCTAACACTGGGCCGCTCAGGGGGGCATTAGGTGTGTATAGGGTGTAGTCTCCAAGCTTGACCTCGATAGGGTCTTCTACTGTTGCTTTATAGTCCCGCATGTCTTCCATCGTGATAATGCCCCCTACAACAGAAAAGGAAACCATACATTTGATTTTGTGATCCCTGGTGGGAAGAGAAGTACTGTCTGTACTGCCACGCATCACAGCAAGAAGAACAGAAGGGGTCACAGATAAATCCAGAAAGTTGCACAGGTGGTGAATTTATTCCTTGATAGATCCATCTGAGGCTCAGACAGCCTAGTATCGAAGCTGGACTAATTTACAGCAGCCAAAAGGCTGGTGATCCATCTATTTCTATAAAGGACACCAGCAAGGTCAAGGAACAAGATGTCCTATAAGAACCCTGCTTACAGGAGAAGGATGCAGCTTTTGAGTGTAGATGCCTTGTGCTACTCCACAAGCAGAATAACATGTATGCTCCAATGCTTTTCTTATCAGAAAGGGGAAGACAGTAATTAGCCACCACAAATAAAGCCAGGAAATGACCTGTACACGTGAAATTCACTGAGGCTAAGGAATGCTAGCTAGTAAAATAGGATACTACCACCATCTAGTGGTACTGAGAGATTAAACGGGACCACGTATGTATTGTTTGAGGTAGAAGCTCGATGGAGTCAGGCTCCAAGTATCCACTATGCTACGTCCAAGAACACATAGGCTTGTTAGACTTACAGTATAGAAATATACAGAATATACTCTCCATTCTGACCGAGAGTCAAATGCAACCACTAAAGTACTAATGGCTTCTTTCGTGCCTCCTGTTGCCACAGACCTCAGAGGTGGGATATCAGGCAGCAGGCATGACCTGCTTCCAAGGCTTCTGCAGGTCAAAGCTCCTCTCTGCACACCAAGCTGCAGCACTCAGGTCACTCACGCTATTTTAGACAGACGTTCTGTTTCTCACCTACACTCTGGATGTCAGCGATGATCTGATCTGCCAGGCTTCCTGTGTAAAAGGCATCTGCTCCTTCATCAGCTATAGTCTGGTACGTGTTGGCTAGTTTAGGCATCTTGACAATATCGCCCTCCTGTAGGATTTTCCCATCTTTGCAGAACACTTCACTGGCAGAGAAAGGAGATCAAGAAGACCAGATGTGAGAAACACGTTCAAAACCATGTGCACCTGTATCAGCTAACAGAGATTTAGTCAAATCTGTCTTCATGTTGTCATCCTGGAGAGAAGAGGAACCGCCTGAGCTACGCTCCACGGGTCTTGATATCTTTCATAGGAACATAAAAGCAAACAGTGAATTCTCAGAATTTGCTCAGTGAAGTGAAGGAGTGTCGGTCTCCTTGACTGTCTGTCAAGGCAGTCCACTCTCCCTGCCTGTTCCTTGGGTTAACAACTGCCTCAAGACACCCATGAGTGATTCTGTGATTCAATTCTGTGATGAGGAAGCACTGTCCTTGAAGCAAAGCAGTTCAGCTCAGAGCACAGGCTCTGAAGCTACAAGGCTCAAAGCTTCCAGTGAGTACAGGAGAATGCATTTGGATTCCTAATGGAGCACTTTCAAATAGACAGATCCCTGTCTCGTTCCCTCATCAGCAATCACGGATGCAATTGATGCTGTGGGCCTGCCAGAAGAAAGTACAGGAGCACAGGCATCCCATTTACATTACAAACCAATCTGCAGCTGGTAGGAAAAGACTAAGCATGATCTCAAGTAGAGCTGGACATAGGCACCATGGGGCTGCAAGAAGAAGTGCATTTAAAACCCTTCATGCTCATAATCATTGCCAGAAATGGATGATCAGAGGCATTGCTTTGGGAAGGCTGACTGCAGAGGAAGAGATAATCCAAAAACTCACGTTCTGACAACAGATGAGATATTCAGGGAGAGGAACATGCTTTGCAATTGCCCAAAAGACAGGTAGGATTAACTTAGGCTGCTCAGAGTATGAGGACAGGCCGGGGATTCAAACACTGCCATCAGATTTATCCCAGAAATTACTTCAGCTCCATCTCTGTTCAGTCAGCTTTTTCTACGCAACTGCTCTACCTACCACAGTAAAGGATTGCTTTCAATTGACTGTTGTTTAGATTTCATGGCTGATGCAAGGCCTTTCCCAATAGGAAATCCTTCTCTTGCCAACTTGACGCTGGGCAGAAATAAGTCTCTCCAAGGCAGTTTGCCATGACGTTGGTGTGCCAGTTCATAGCCACGGATTTCTCCTGGAACAGCAATGGACAGTCCTCCTGGAGCAGAGAAGAAATGTGCAAGTCTTCAGTAGCAAGGAAAACGGAAAAAAAAAAGAAAACAAAAAAGAAAAAGCAGTAGTGCAGAGGAGGGCTTATCTGTTGGCCTTGGTTTTAAGCAGGGATTGTGCATACTATCACTGGTTCAGTCCATGCATGTGATGCTAACAGGATTATTGACACCTCTATCCTCTTGCTGGTAACTCAAGTGTTTGGGCAATTCTTCTCACTTTTCTGTATCAGTGCAAAGCTACTCAGAGCACAGAAGGCATCATACCTGCCTGCAGTTCCCAGTCCTTCAGAGTTGAATACACTACAGTAAGAGGGCACAGCTATATGTATATGGCAATGTCCACGCATGCACACACCAAAATTTCTTTTGTCACACTGCAGCAGCAATTGCAATAGACTGTCTACACTGCACAAAGATACAGCAGTTTGTTTCAATCCTGTTTTTACCAGCATCTCCCAGAAGTTCAACACGCTTATCAGCCCTTCCCCAAGGCTCCATTCCTCTTCAGTTCCAGAAGTCACCATAAAGGGAACTGGAAAGAGCCTTTGCCTTTACCTTTCTGAGAGATCTGTGTGTTGTTCCCAAACATGTCTTCTGTTGCTCTTTTAGGAGCCACCTCTCTCGCATTAATGATTTCCACATTTCCTTTAAAGACAGAGGAAGAAGATCACGTTTAGCTCTGAACTCAGCACCAGTCACAGTCTGTGCAGAATAAGCCCCATCACTGGGAAGCAGTTTCTTGGCAGTTATTCTGTGGACAACTTCAGAGATTGGAAGAGTCGGTACCTTAACTCAGGTAGCATAAATCACCCCTTTGTGCTTTAAATGGAGGAGCAGAACTGTTCCAGATGTGTACAGGCCTGTCGCTTACCTGCACTGTTATAGATGGTAAAGAAGAGCCCTCCTCCAATGCCCATGCTGTGAGCATTCATGAGTCCTACACAGAGCAGTGCTGCAATCGCACTATCCACAGCAGATCCACCTTGCTGAAGGATGTCCCTGTGCAGCAGAAGAAAAGCATCTTACGGCAACACGCCACAGTGTCTCAGCTATTTGTGAGCTCTGGAGTCACCTCATCAGAGCAGATATACAGCAAATCTTCTCTAATGCCCATTTATCTGACTTGATCTATGGGTTCCCCACAAACAGTTTTTGGTTTCTATCACCACAGATAAGAGAAGCTAATGATCTGGGTACAGACCAGACTGACCTTCATTAAAGACATTCAAACTAGCCCGAAAACAGCAAGATGTGTCATAGTACCTGGAGGAGGCTGGCATTCCAGCCACATCCATCATACATGAGAAGAAGGAGCCCTGAAATCTGCAGCATGTACATCTAGAACTGGAGGATGGCTTAAAAGTATTTTAAAAGAGTTTGAAAAGCATCTCCCATCCCTATTGTTTCTGTGCCTAGGGAATCTTTGTCTACTGTACTGCCTTTGAGTGACTGCATTAACATTAGTTGGGAATGGTAAGGGCCCAGGTTTACTCACAGCCTCCTCATTCTACAGGGAGCTGAGTGCAGCTGCCAAGGTTGCATCTGTGCATCAGTGAAACAGAGCAGTTTTGTCTCGTCTCAAGAGCTTCACAGCTAAGAAGAACAGTGGCAGAATTAATGATTACCTTCCAATTACTGAGCATGGTCCTGCGTCCGTAGCCACAGCTGCCCTTTTATAGATGTGTGCATCCTCTGAGTCCGAGCGCAGCCCAAAGAAGAGTCCCAGGAACAAGATGAGCCCCAGCAGGACTGCAGTCAGGACCCCAGTCACCACAAAGCGCTTCCTCATCTTTCTGTGGGAAGAGACATGATCATCAACCTTGCTGTTTCTGGGGCTGCTAGGGAGAAGGTGATCAGGAATAAGAGAAGGCTTGTCGTCTGTCTTCTTCCATATCCACTGTTTCCATCTCCTCTTTCCCCAGCAGCTGGCAGCTCTGCTGATGGATGGTGATTTTGGAAGGAGTGACCAGAGGTAGTGAGAGCCCAATTCTGGCCTTGAAAGGTACATCACAGTGATGTTCTTCCTGCTTTTCCAGCCCTTGCTTGTCAGTGAGTTTCTATGGACTGCTGAGCTGCAGGCAGTGAGCAGCTACCTCCTTCCCAGGACTTCTCATAGATGTCTGTGCTCAGATTCATATCAAGACCTTTCCTCTGAGCACTGCTGTTATGGTTTCTCTGTGCAGGACAACTGTTGTAACAACTCCAACTTTTACCAGCTTCCCCTTTACCCCTTACTGCCACACCATTTGCAGAGTGGTCTATTTCACTGAGCACTCCAGAGACTCCTGGAAGCCCCTGGGTAACAGCTCAAAAGTATTAAAGTCCCTGAAATGAAAAAGCCAGCAGCAATGACTTAGGTAACAAAATGTCTGCTTTAGTTTTTGAGTCACAACATCTCCAATGAAAAAACAGAGAGCTTTAACCTCACTGATCACTACAACACACATCCTAGTCATTAACACGTCACCTTGGCCAAAGCTATTTGGCCACGAGCACAACACCCTCCTGCTCAGGATTCTTGGCTAGAGCAGCTTTCCCTTAAGGCTGCCACTTCTAGAAGGCAATTGCCAGTGCTCACATCTCCTTATTTTTCCATCCTGCACAAAGATGCTCTTGGGGTGCACAGGGTTACTGTTCACCAATGGGTGAGCATAGGACACTGAGCAGACCTGCAGCAAGGGTGTTCCAGACACACATCAGAATAAGTTGAGAGCTATTGAGGGGACGGAGAGTCATGACATCTTGCTAGGACTGACACTTCATGAATAATATCTACTCTTTGACCCATTTCTTTTCCCCTCACAGGACTATTCAAGCAAAAAAGACCTAAATTCAACATAGCTTTTTCAGGGACCAACTCCCCCCGTTCAGTGCAGTTATCACCATGACTACTATATTTGTGCAATAGCCAAGATACCCTTTACCTTACCAAAGCACCTGCTGTCCTCATAGGCAAACCAGTCCATGGCATTGGGAGCGAAGAGCAGATCCACCAACCCCAGCCTCTGTGGCTATGCAGCTGCCCAAAGCAGAGGAACCTCCAGCAGTCGGAGCAGCACTTGGTGCCTTGCAGAGCAAGGAGGCAATGAGCGTGCCAATGCTGACCTAACAGGAGGAAACAGGCCAGGCCAGCCAAAATAAAGCACTCCTCAAAGGGAGGAGATTGGCAAGCGCTGCCCCTCGGCTTCACTCCCATTCTGCTTATTTCAAATAAGGGAATATCCATTTTCTATCCAAGCCTTTTATCTGCAAGTCTCAGAGCACAAAAGGTGTCTGCTTCCAAGTAAGGCAACTCAAATCAGGGTGTCAGTGTGCTGTATGTGCTGTTCTGTAAACAAATGTCAACCAAGGTCAGTGAAAGGTAAATGGATGAGACCTCTTTCCAGGTTCAGAACTTGATTTACACTCAACTACTTTTAAAAGAGACTGCTGGTGTGTTTGCAGAGCAGTTGCTGTGCAGGGAAACAGAGAAGCTATTATGTCCCCAACAATAGCTCACACACAGCCTCAGAGTTTAAAGACAGTTTTGTTAGTTGGCTTCAGCACTGGCAGTCTCCTCCAGGCTTCACAAGAAATGCCATGGGATCTTTTATCTGCACTCCAGCTAGGCAGAAGGTACTTTGTTTCATCTGGGCTGTCCCTCCAGCCCCTTGGGGACCCCAGCCCAGTGCTGACATGTTAACCCATCAGCTCCTGCCTTGGACTGCACAGTTCTCCACGGCTGCCTGCCTTGTTGCTGTGCACCTGTGAAGATTTGCTGTCTCATCATGCAAGAGCACCAGAGAAGGGTTGACCTCAGGACTCTGCTCTCTCTTTCACCTCTGAAGAGCCTTTGAAGAGCTCAGTGCTGCGTGCTCAGCTGTTGGGTGAGTGCACTAACCTTAAGAAGAGCCCTCCAGCTCACTGCACGCCCCAGGCACAGCTTCCAGCTGCCTGCCAGCCCCAGGCATTCTGCTCTGCTGCAGCAGAGAGAGCAATCTCAGGTGAGAATAATCCCCTCAATCTTCTGCTCGACTCCCACAAGCTTCCTGACCTCTTTTGTGGGCACACAGTCTATCCTGCATTCTGTGTGCAGTCCAAACTGCCTTTCTGGCTGTGGCACAGCAGAACCCAACAGCTCTTGTTTCCCATGCAGCAGTTGGGAGACAGAACAGAAGCCTGCAGATACCCACTCTCCCTCCACATCTGTCCCATCTCATTACTCAAACAGTGGAGTTTTTGCACCAGTGCTCCTTCTGAGCCCCAGCTCTGAAGTGCAGCCATCACCTGAGCTGACGATGCTGTTTGCTGAGGCTGCTTTTAACCTCCAGACCTCTGCCAAATGCAGCTGTTTAGGAGCTTGGGTAGCATTGCAGTCCCAGCAGCAGCACTTCTGGAGAGAGGGACTATAAGGCCATTAAAAGCATCATGCTCATTTCCCAGTGTCATAAAGGTCCACTAGCCAGTCCTAGCTATGAAACGTAATGTGAATGCTGAGATTCACTCAGAACCAGCAAGAAGTAGAGCTACACCTGTATGAGCCACCCCACTGTGGCACAGTCAGACACGTCACAATTTTCACAGCTTTGTTTAAACACAACTGCAGGTTTTGAGCTGAAGGAGTCCTGGTGCAATCAGATAGGCAGTGTTGGGCTGAGGTCAGAGCATCTGAACTGCTCTGTCAGTAGTGTGTGGGTGTGCTGCAGAGATAGGGAACTTGCCAGGGTCAGGGAAAACCCAGGAAAACTAAAGGAGAGGGAGTGAACCCAAAGTCAAATGCATAGCAATAACATTACCGTATTTAAACAGGTATTAGTAACCAAGAATTGAAATATTGTTATCATACCCTATTGCTGCATAGAGTGAACCATCAGTGGCTTTTTTTGGGGGGGGGGGCTGACAGCGGAGGTCCCATTATATGACAACCTAATGAAGGTGCCCACAACTGATCACATAGGTGGAAGCACCTGAAGCATACAGAAGACCCTAAGACAGCTACTTGGGCTGACACTTCAGGATCAGGTACCCTGCCTTCTTGCACAAGATCTGTTTTTGTAGTTGCTTCCCAGAGCTGTTCCCAGCCAGGCCACATTTAGACGTCAGCAAGTGATGTGCTCCCATCCAGCTGTTGCTGGGTCCCCAATGCATCACGTAGCTTTTCCTTCTCCCTGGGAGCTCACAGAAAAGGTGGTGTAACAAAGAGCAAATGGTTCACCTGTGGGAAGCCTTAGCACTTGGGGTCTGTGCTCATACCTAATTAGCCAGATGTATAATCAAGATGTTATAATTACAATATAATTGTATAATCAATAGATATCAAGATGTTATAATTACAATATAATCAAGAGAATTAGGCAAAGTAAACAACGATCACAAAAGAGAATTAGTGGAAGAGCTTACCCTTCAGCTGAGCTCACCAGAAGACACCAAGAGGGGTGATCTCCATAAGAGATCCTTCCCCTCTGGTAGCCAGCTCTTAAATAGGTCTCTGCCCTTCCGGCAGCACAGGTGAATTGCCTTCACCTGTGCTCCTCTGGCTGCCTCATGGCTCGCCTCAGGTGATCAATCAGAGGTTCAGGCCGTGACTCAGCAGTTCCCATACATCAGTTTAAATCCTTGGGTATAACTGTGCTAACTTCCCCCAGCTGTCACTAAGAACAGCAGGCAGCAACTTCAGCTTTCATCTGCAGGAATATCCAGACTCATCATCCTCTGAGCAGCTAATTAGCTGGGGTTATTTACTCCAAGAGAGCTTGCATTGAAGAAAACTAGGACAAAAGCAACACAAAAAGTATACTGCTGCTGTCCAGAACTAATTCTGTGAGTTTATCCATTCTGTCCTCTTACAAAAGGAAAAAAGGTAGTGAGATCTACTTGTTACTGTGGGCTATCCTTACTGTACCTTTGCATAAATTTCTGTTTTATAGCAGTTCCATTGATGCTGGCTAATTCTTCAAGGTCTTTTGCCCTCTTCCTACTAAAACTGTTCTTTTTGTCTTCCAGGGCATGTTCTGCCTTGTCCTTATATACCAGATTTGAAGCTCACGTTGCCCATTCCCAACCAAGCACTCCTTCATTACATAATTCACAGGTCTTAGATTGTGGAAGGCTAATATATAGCATAATCATGCAAAGACAACAGGATAATCACCTTACACAACAAGGACGGAACTAAGATCATAAATGTACCTTTTACATCAAATTTGCCTCCTGCCTGCCAGGTTAGAGCTCCCTGCAATGGAATCTTCACACCTTTCCCCAAGTAGTCCCAAAGCAGCAGTGAGCTGCTGCATGCTACTTATTCCTAGGCAGAACTGGAATGGCTCAGATGCAGCATTTCTACCAACAGGTTTGGGTTAACCCAAAAGGCAGAGAGCTTTGTGACTTTGTTAGCCATCACATATAACCCTGCTTTTCCAGGGCTCTGTTGGAATAGACATCTGCTTCTAAGCACTATCCTTTTGAGAACAAAGATAGAAGGGCTTGTTCCCTGTGCCTTCCATCCTGTATTCAGACACAAAGGTCTGACTTTCTCACATCAGCCTCCCTATTGCAGCCTTGCCCTGCAGTTACTGCAATAAGACATGTACTTAAGGCACTTGAGATTCCAATCTACAAGTTCATGTGCTAAATACTTTTTCCCCTTAGGCCTTTTACTCAGCAGCAGCCACTGGGATGCCTCTGATCAGGACTCTGGTTCTCCCACGCTCACCCATGCTGACAGACAAGCAGAGTCTCCTGCCAGGCACTGATCTCAATGGAGCAGCAGGCATTTTTCCTTAACTATTCCCATTTTGTCCACATGATGCCCTTGAGAGACTTCAAACAAGTGATCAACAACTGCCTCCCCTTACAGAGGAAATCCTTCCTGATTCAAGTTTTACACAAACTGCTGTGGAGAACTGTGATGTAAATACTGAAGTAGTTGGGGATCAAAACAAACAAACATTCTAAATCTAAGCCCTTTTTTGGGGTCTCACAGAATAACACAGGTGTTATGCTCTGGTGTTAGGCTAGAATTTAGAACTAATATACTTTTGTACTCACCCACCAGGAGAGATATTCAAGTTGAAGTCTTGTGCAGTCTTCATCTCCATCAGCAATAAAGAAACTATAGCAAAATTCTGTCAAGCCATGAAGAAGCTCAAAGAGGCTTCCAAATTCAGGACTGGGCACTGGTGGGCACAGAGCAGTCCCCAAGCACTAACCCTATGCTGCTGCTTCACCACAGAAATACAACAGCCCCATTCAACCTTTCTGCACAGCCAACACCTCCATGTCAGCCCCTGTCCCACTGCCTGCACCCTATATATCTTACTGCCTCCCTCTCCTCAGGCACAGCTTAAAAGTTTTTAGCATTCTCAGCTTGAAGCAGGGCATTGAGGGCTTACAGATGCACGCAGGTACTGCATAGGTAGAAAGGCTTCAGATGAAATCTATGAGGCCATGATGTCAAAGCCAGAGGTAATCCAGCATCACAAAAAATGGATGTTATTAAAGTTTTACAAAGTCATTCAGAACATTGCTGTTCCACTCACCTCCAATTTAAAATCCAAATGTTTAATTAAAATAGTTTTATTCTCCCATCACTTGCAAAATATGCTTTCAGAATATCTTCTTCCAATAAACTGGGAGCTGTTTATTAGAACTGGGCTTATTCAGGCAGAATAGTCAGGTCCTATCATTCTCTTTATGTAAACTTCCATCTGATGGCACCAAAAAAACATACTGTTCCATGTTCTGCTGCTGAAGAAAACCCAAACAGCATGGCAAGGGTGAGGGCAATGGCTCAATTGATGTCATTTCTAACTTCCCCTTACCTCTCAAGAGTACTTCCACTGATCTGTTCTGTCCTTTCGCGTAGATCCTTATTTACTGATATCCTTTGAATATCCTTTCTGAAGCAGTGAATCCCGTTCTTGAGCCAGTACGTTCCTGTAGCACTAGCAGTAAGCACTTGTCTTTCCTGAAAGGCTCTCCAAAGCTTGCTGTACTATTTGATATTTGTACAGCTCTACTTACAGAGATTAACCCATTGAAACTCATTACTTTTGAATTCACAGTACTGGAGGAATGCTTAAGTAATCATTGACTAGGTGAAGAGTCAAGAGCCAACACCCTTTAATATGCATAGCTTAGCGCTCATAAATGTTGTCTATCACCAGCAGAATAATCATTCATTTTTTGATTCTTTTGCTACATGCTGGCTAAGCAATTGAATAAATATATGGTCACACCAAGTGCCCATCTCCATAGGATCCAGTATGGTCAATACTCCTCTTGCCCAACAAAATGGTGCTCTTGTAGTTTGCATTTGGTTTTTTAAGTGTGCCTTGCAGCTTAAACCCAGACACACTGACAGATTTAGCTGTGACAACGTTTGATTGGAGTATCCTCTGCCAAGTGGGAGCAACCACCTGCTGAGGACACTGATCAGTTCTTCAGCAATCCCAGCTACACACTAACTTAAACCACCATCACTTTTAGTTCAGCTTAATGCTCCAGCTGCAATAATGTGACACACTGCCTGTTCTACCACCATTCCCATTGCAGGGAGGATAACAGAGGAGACATCTAGAGATGGAGAAACCTGTCCTCCACCACTAAATCTCATTGAAGCTTTTGAGCAATAATCCTGTGTCTGTTTGCACAGCTTCCAGTTGCAGATCAAAGATTGCAGCTCACTTGCTATTGAGCATAACATAAACCCTAGCAGTAACCCAAATTCAAGGTGCAATATCTGCCCTTGAACTCCAATTACTCAGCAATGAAAGCTCATCTCTCTGCTGCTGTACAGATCTTGATAGGCAGCTCAGAGCCAGCTTGAACATGAGAGTTCAGTGCCCATCCAGAACACAGCACAGACAAATCATAGCCTGCCTAAAATTTGGTCACAGCAAGGCTCCAAGCCTATGCATCCTAAGCTGGTTCTTCAGTCAGCAGGGTGTCCTGCACGCACTGGATGAAGCAAAATCTGCTTGGATACCAGTCAGCTCTGCTAGATGCTATCTTTTAACATACCAGGATCAGTAGTTTAATGCCTCAATTCCAAACCTGTCCAGTTTCTCCATCCCAGTCCAACCTTTGACAAACTGGATCCTTACTTACGTTAGAGGGACAGGGCATGTACTGCAATGAATCATGAACAAAATCTGTCTTAGCACCAAAGGCAAAAGCTATGGGAACACAAGCCATACCTCCTCTACTTAAAATTACACAAGCATTCCAGCCTTGAGATATTTGGAAGAGAGTTAGCATGGGCCCATCTTCAAAAGGGGCTTCCTAGTATCCCTCTAAATAAAGTGTGGAAAGATATTTGCTCTTTGCCCCAAACAAACTAAAATGTACTTTTAGTCTTTCACACCTAAGTGAGGAGACAGGGAAAAGAAATTTTACTCTTTGCCCCATTACTGAAAGTCAAATCCTATGGCTTTTCTTCAAGGGCAGTGCAGTCTCATTTGTAGCACATCGTCACCAGTACAGAGTTGGAACAAGCTGGACATTCCCCAGCAAGTTACTCTTTCACTTACGACAAGTAGAAGAGTTGAAGATGGGGTCAGAGGATGTTAAGAAATCTGAAGGTAGTACTTCTGGTTCTGGTAGGTAAATAGTAAATAGTTTGCTATGCACACGTACAGCTACAGCATTTCAATTGTACGTGGTTTTGGAAAAGTCACTTATCTCTGTGTAGTCATTAATCCACTGCATTGTCCTGTTATGACTAAGCAGCAGAGCCGCACCTCAGACAGAAACAGCATGGTCCATGGAAGTGCATTACAATAAAAAAATGTTAAAAAAAGAAAAAAGTACTTTCTGCATGGCTGATTGTGGTGCTCATGATGTGACCATCTCTGACATTCTCTAACAATTATTGGGTACTACTGAAACATGACAAGCAGAGTGAAATCTCTGCCTCTTCCTCTAAAGGAACACACTTGGTAGCATATGAAGCAATATCTTCAGAGCCCTTGTCGTGGAACTTGTGGGTACTGAAAAGCATCAGGAAGCATGAAGGCACTTCTGGGTACTTTCTCTTTTTGTTTCATCTCTCATCATGTACTGATTTTGCTGTAAGAATTTCAGGAAATGACATCAGCAATAGCTGACTACATAAATCATGTAATTGAGTCTCCTTTTCACAGAATCCTTTTTATTGCAGATCACACAACCCAAGCTCTCCGTTTCCTGATATTTCAATAAACACATCATCAGAATGGAGGAGATATCCTCATTTTGCAGCTTAGCTACTTTTTCACGAGGACATTTCTCCTCCAACAGAACAACGTTGCAATCCAGTGCTATCCCAATGCAAGCATCAGAGAGGTTCAGAGTACCCAGTAACACATGTTAGTTGTGTGTAAGGCTGCTTCCTGCTAAGATCACTGAGATATGTCTAAAGAGTGAAAATTTTGATAAAGCCTTTTGAAGCTGTACTTTTCTGACATCACGGATTCATGCCACCAGCAACACTAATAAAGTTATGATCCCAATGGATTCTGATTTTCATGAGGTCATTACAATCCTTACAATACTTGAGACGCAGAAGGGAGATAAATCTAAATGGACTTATAATTAGACAGCAGTATGAGGTACCCAGATGGATTATGGCAGGCGTAATGATGTGTAGATCATATGGCTTAGGTTATAAGAAGGGTCAGTGCAAAGAAATATTTCCTGAGATTTCTTTATGTCTCGTGTCATCCTCTAGCCAAATGAAGAGGATGGAAGCTTGGAAGAAATAGCAGTTTACTACTCTGCTATTTCATTTTTTCAAGAGAGCATTCTTGATTTGGATAATAAAGGATGTTATTTCCTATTTTCTGTTCAAGTTGGTTCGTGACTTTCTACAATAACTCCATATATCAAAGCTGTACACAATGACAGGAACAAGGACCGGGTCATTAAAACTTAAGTCCTATCTGATAATCAACACGAACATTCCAGTTCCTCCCTACTGGAAATTGTTGCTGTTCAAGGCTCTTCTTTTATTACCTTTCCTCACTGATAAATTCATTGATCGCCACCTGGGCTCAGGCAGCACTCCCAAATTTTACGTCAATCTCAGTTTTCCAAGATTTATTTATCAGCTTTATGAAGCCCTTTCATCTTTGCAAAGCTTTTCTGTTGGGGTACCAAAGGCACTGTGTTTTTGCTGCCAGACCTACCTTTCCTGCAGCAGCCAGCAATCAGCTCAGCAGCCTGACATGGCTTCACTCAACCTCACCATGCTGGAATAAAAGAGGGGAGAGGGCTAATGAAGGAAGAGAGGAGGAAAGAAGGTGGAATAACAGGAGAAAGAATAACCTTTAAAGTGCTGGATGGGAAAAATGGAAGAAGAGGGAGTGAAAGAGGCAGATAGGACAACAGAAAAATACTGAAGTATGGGAAAGGGGAAAATGAAAGGGCAAAAATACAACGCCCGCTCTCAAGGGCAGAGGTTTCTTCCCTATAGCCTGCCCTCCGAATGCACTTGGAGGTGCTCAGATCACAGCTGAAGTTTGGACTTTCTTAGTCCTTTGCAGAGGGCTTGTTTAACATTATCGACACATTAAGTAACTACTGATTGTAGAACATCTGAGCAGGAAAACATACAGGTTCCAAACTAAAAAAAAAAAAAGGCCTTTGGGCTGAAGAGATTTCCACAGACTTCAGTGGAACTTGGAGAAGATCTCCATTTTCCAGTAGAAAAAATTAAAATCATACCACCTGCTTAGATTCACTTGCTTTTGCTAAATAAAGGCTTTACAAATAAATGAGATAGATTGCAGTGGAGCAGCTTTGAATAACAAAGACCAGGTCTTTGATGTCCATATGTCTGGGAGGGCCGTTTGTTCTGGCAATGAGCACACAGTCTCCTAGGCACTGTTCTGATCTGCAAGATGTCTAAATATTTGTTTTCCTGGGCAGAATCTGTTCCCTTACACACAAATGCAGTTGTCCTTAATAGCTCAGTTTTCTCTCCGACTCCTCAGCTGGAAGCCTCTCCCACATTCTGCTTCTGGAAGTAACTCCCAATACCATCCAACAGCACCTGCACCCTTGGGCTCTGCACCTGCCTTGCTACCTGTTAAGAAAACTTGTCATTGCTTGATGTCCACTCATACTACAGGCAAAACCATGGGAAAATTGTGTCTGTTTCTTGGCCCTAAATATCAGCTTTTCCACAAAATTCTTCCGTCTTAATTAGGAATGAAGAGCATACGCAAACTGGTCGTAGACTGGGCATCTTTGTGAAAATCCTTTGTTTTTTGGCTCAAAGCTTGCTTCCTGAGGTCTTTCTTGTGATAAGACTCTCAATGATTTGTTGAGGAGGCAAGTGATGGGTGCTAACCGTGTGACAATCAATATTGCTTTGGGGACATTTGAAAGCCCCTTGCTACAGAGCTGCTTGCTCTGTAGAAGAGCGGAAGAGAGTGCTCAGGAGTGTTCACTGGCAGAAGATCTGGCTTGTGGCTAAACCGCTCCAGCTTGGTATGGGAGGCTGGGGGGATGATGCCATTGTATCCTGTGAAGGCAAGATACAAGTTGGTGCCTCCCTGCTCCCTCTTATCTGCTGGCAAGGCCAGGAAGATAAGAACAAAGGAATTCCCTGCTGAGGTTCCAGAGCCAGAAGCTGCCACTCCAAGGAGAGCTGGCTTAACCACCTTGGGTTTGAGCTGTCACTCAAAAGAGAGCTGACTCAACCACTTTGAAAGCATTGAAAAGGGACCATCATTGCCCTGGTCCTTGTCGTCGTTCTAGTCATCATCATCAACAGAACAGTGCCTGACAACCCACCACTATTGAAGATCAATGACTGAACTACAAACCATGCTGGATCCATGGTGGTGACTATCTCCCTCTTGCTTCCTATAAGGACTCCTTGCTTCTTCTTTTCTATCTTTTATATCGCCCTCCTTCCATTCCCCATTACCCTAATTCATAATAGTGTCCGTCCTCCCCTTCCCCACTTCCCTAATTAAGATTTGTAATAAACTGGTCGGACCAACATTTGAACCGTTGTTTCTTAATCTCACTCCAGGTATACACACAATAAAAGAACCTCCTCTCCCTCCCATAAATTGGAGCGAGACAATCTTCAAGAACTGAATGGGCGACACAGAGGTTAAATAGCTCACCCAGTGTTGTACATTAAATTATATTTGCAAAACAGATCAAGACTCTGGCACCTGTGATTTAGCCTTCATTAATATGGAGGTGATTTGAAAGAAGCCAAAGTCATTGAGGTAGACTGAGATCTGGCAGTCCCTATAGAACATAAGCATTCTATTGACCTGAGCTGGAAGGGTGTGAAACACCCTCCATAAAGCATAACTAAAGAGCAGGAAAGATGTAACATAGGGAAAGAAATAACTCTGCTATTTCATGCCCCAATCCAACCAAAACATGAAGACAAGACAATAAAATCATGCTATTTACTCACCACTTCGAAAGCTCTGCTCTCCCTGGGTGCAGTTCACCCTTCTGCTGGCAACACCAGAAGAAGGCACTTCTGCCCTGCCCTCTTGCCTCTTATTCCTCAAGGGTTCCCAGAAGCAAGGATTTCAAAAGCTGAGTGGCAGCAAGACTTTATGCATGGGAGTGGTCAGCCAAGGAGGTGATGTAATGAAGTTATATTTTTGGGCAGTGAAGGCACAGCCCCTGACCCCCCTCCTGAAGAACTGCTGGCTCATGGGGCAAGCTTGGAACAGTGATCAGATATTTTCCATGCTGTAATTTCTCATGGTAAGCGGAACAGCATACAGGGTGGAGGGCAAGGAAAGATCGGTCCTGAATGAGGACAGTAGTTTGATGTTGGGTCCCAGGAGTGAATCTGTACTGGCCGTCATTTATTCATGCATCAAACAATGCCCTGCCAGTCACTTGCTTTGCCTATGGCACAAGCTCTGGTAGCAAAGATGCTCTCTGCATTACAGCATCACTACCATCATACCCACTCCTGCACTCTCCCCTGTTAGCTGATGCTGGAGCACTGCCCAACCCAGGGCCAGATGGCTGGGAGCCCTGTGGAGGTGAAGGAACGTTTATCACGTAAGAGGGATTATCCTGGCTGCTGACCCGGGAAGCTCTTGAGAGGTACATCCTGCTCTTCTCCATCAGAGGAAGTCTTGTAGCTTCTGAATGGAGAGGAAATCTCTCAAGGATGTACCACTGCTCTCCAAAGGAAAAAAAAAAAAAAAAATCATTTGCAACTTCCGTCATCATCATTTTTTGATCTTTCGCTGAAGGATTTGTTTGACTGTGAGAGGCAATGTCATGCATTAGGACAGAGTCTGACCAACTCAGCTTATACACTATTAGCCGTATCTCTGGTACAGCTGTACAGCAGGAGATGCCAGGTCTAACAGCAATGCGAGCATCTTCTCAGCTGAGACAACCAGAAAAGGCAAGAACTGCTCCACTCCAGAATATCATGGAGTGGAAATCAGAATTACCATCATTTGCCAGCAATGACACCAGCTTCATACAACAGCAGCCAAACAAGTGCCCAGCTCATTCCATCAAAATCCCACACCAACTGGATCCTCCACAGCTGGTTTGTAGGTCAGGGTGGGGAAGGAAGACATACAAATGACTGTCACAGGCAGAGCTGCTTGTGCAATTGGACAGGGAACGATGTTCCTTTTTCTCCTTCCCTATTAAATTAGTTTTCAGTCAGAGATCCCCCCCATCCCATTTCCATAACACAGTGCCAGCATAAGGAAGAGAACTATTTAGAACACTTAAAAAGAGCGTTCCTGTATGCCAAATCATGGTCTGAATCTCACTGACCTTAAAGACTTGTGGCTGTTTTGTTGTAGTGTCACAGGAACCAAGAGCAGGAACAAAGCAAACCAAACAAAACCAGAGCTAGATCCACTTGTAACTTATGGGAAAGCTGCATAATATATATATATTATATATATATTCACATCTAGGATGGATGTTTTCTGATGTATGTAAGACTGTAATTTACAGACACATGATCTTGTTCTGTCACTTTGGGGTTTCCTTGGCTTTATCCCAATTCTTGCACTCCTACCTTTCTGGTTCTCTCCCCAGTCTCTCCTGTTCAAAGCCAACAAGGGTCTGGCAGGAGCAAATCTGCCTGCTGGGGTTAAAGCACAGTGCTCCCAAACACCACTGCCTGTCCAGACCACCAAATTCTTATCATTACAAAAATGTGTTCTACTCAACAGCATTTTAAAATTCCTACCAGGGAAGCCTTATGGGCTCAGATGAAAAAAGCATTCATATCCCTACTTTAGAGATAGGAACAGAGACGATCCTGCCCAGGGCTGAAGCTAGGAATCTTCTCCTAAATCCCCTTAAGCATCACTGCTTTTCCCTGTCACGTTTCCAATATATACTCTAAACTCAGACGCAGCTGGAAGTGACAAGTGCCGGGGCTGACAGCAATCTGACTGCACAGTGCCTGCAGCTACGTGGGCTGTTGTTTGCTCTCTTTCTCATAGCTTTGGTTTCTCCCCCGCTGTAAACAGGAAATGAATAAAACATTTTCAGGTACCTCCTGAAAAATGACAGCAGATCACATTGCAGCGGAGGAACTGAAAAGAAGTTCAAAGTGTTTGAACTACTTAATGGCAAACTTGCAGCTCATTATAGAAAGTTGTTGGGTGACTAATTGCTGCTAAAGTCTAACCAAAGCAAGAGGACCCTAAAACCAGAGAAACCTGGATCTTTTTCTCAGGAAAAGCCAAGGTCTGCCACACAGATCTCCACAAATCTGCTTTCCGTTCTGCCTGAGGACCAGCAGAGCTCAGGGCTGTGAGGCTCAGATACACTCCTGGATACGCACCAAACTCTGACCTGACTCAGCCATGTGGAGGGGGAACATATGAGAAGGAACTTTTCCCATTGTTTTCCTATAAGGCAAAGAATCTCTTTTTAAAAGAGAACAGTAGGGACCTACAATCACAGCAGGAAGCCAGAAAGATGGGAGCCTGTCCAAAGGACTTCTGCATCAGGGGGGTTTGGTGCTCACAGCATCTCCTCCTCCAGGCAAAGCATAACAGGCCTGCAGGTGGACTGTTTTGGGATCCCTTTGCCGTATCACAAATGGATCTCTGGGGAAGGCTCTGCTTGTTTGCACACCATGGCAAGGCTGTGCTTTGCCAGCATTGCAGGCAGCAGGCCAGCAACACCTGCACAACACAGCACAAGGGTACACAAGGGAACAAGCCGCTTCCATGCAGGGACAAACGGCAACAGATGGGAAACCACCACCTGGCTCCCAAAGATACAAGCCAAGATGAAGGTTACTGCAAACACAGACATTAGATCACAAGAGCTACAGCAGCCAGTCCCTTTGGGCTCAAATGGAGGGGACCAAGGCCCTCCCCAGTCCCTCATTGTTGCTTTGCCTCATTTGTTGAGAACACCCTGCAGCTCTCTGACACATGGGAAACCACGTGTTTACTGATTGCTGCCATGCCTCCCTCCACCCCCTCCTCGCATGGGTGGTCAGACGATCTGCAGAGGGATGATCTGCGGGTGAGATCAGCCATGCATGTAATGGGAAGAGAAGGGAAAAGTCCAGTCCCCTGGGAGAGCTCCTACAGAGAGAACTTCAACCTCCAGGCACAGCAGGACAGGCTGGGCACAGCGCGTTGAATGAAAAAAAGAGCAGGAAGGAGAAGAGAAGCAGAGTGGAAGGGCCCAGGACTCGGTCTTGCTGCTCAGA